AAATCATTCATCTCCAAAGTGATGGTGTGATGAATACACTCTTCATGCCTTTTACCAAATTTCTCCTCGGTAATGGGATAACACACCAAAAGCCTTTCCCACACACCCAAAAGATACGGCTATGTAGAATTCAAGACTATAAAATAAAACAATTTCTTTAGTTTTCTTATTATTGAATCTGAATTTCACTTACAAGTGCCACAATTTTTCTTATTATTGAATCTGAATTTCACTTACTTTTATTGCCAAAGTAAATAAGCACAATCCAGGAATAAAAACCAAGCTTCCATTAACAATTTTAGTACAAATAATGTTCCTAGAAACTCAAAATAAACTAAAATAGTTGGGAAGGCTTACTGGATTATGCCTGGAGTCAACCCACCATTGGACTTAGTAAACCCCACACCCGAATTCCTAACTGATGGCGCACTTTGATCCCTTTGGTCTTGCTGAATTTTCCAAGCCGGGAAGCTTCCTTAGGCAATACCTCTTAAACTAGTTTTAGGGAGCATAAAAGACAATTACGGTTTTGTGAGAACCCTTTTGGAACAAATTAGGGCATGCCTCAAAGGCAACTCCGTTTTCTAGGGAGAGAGAGAGAGAGAGAGAGAGAGAGAGAGATTAGAAGTGAGAGAGGCCAAGAAAGTGGTGCAAAATGAGAAAGGGGACTCACCTCCTTATATAAGCCTCAACCCCCTTAGGTATCCCTCAATTATGACTCACCTTGACCAATACGAATTTAGGAAATATGTGCAGTGAGAGATGATTAAATCTGAGCCATCCATCGCATAAATCAACCCTTATGATTTAAGGAGGAATATTAGGAACTTTATCCCCATAATATTTGACCCATATCCACTTCTAGTCTAAAACTATTGACCCATATCCACTTCTAGTCTAACTAGGATTAGACCAATAAAAAAAATTCTAGAACTTCTTTATTTATCTCTTTAAAATTCTAAGAAATCAAAATAAAATATCTTGGTCAAATCTATCTCAAAATAACTCCCAAAAAAAATAGGCACATAATCTTTTATTTTAAAAGATTATCTAACTTAAAACATATTTTAATTGAAACAAAGTGCTAAAACAAGAAAGTAGAGGGGCATGTCACCCCTATAGGTGATATGTGGGCCCCATGGGCTCCATGCCCCAGCCATGGGGTGTCGCACACATGTGGGGGGATCCAAGCCCCACGTGCCCCTACACACTATAAAAATTTCAAAAATGCCCCTATATAAGGAATTTACAACATAAATTAATTTAAAAAATTCTAAAAAAAATCCAAAATTCACAAAAATATTTTTAATACTAAAAATAAAATATCTAAAAGTGGATTGATACCAATGGGTCAAAATGAGTGAATATAAAGGCACTCAACCCGACCTAGTGACCATGATCCACAATTGTCTTCTAAAATCGATCGATCCAATGAAACCCATGATCCACAGTCTCATGCAGAGGGATAATGATTGGTTCGTCAAAGCTGGCTAAAAAAAGCAGAACCACGATCCCAGAAAGATATCACAGTTCAAGTAGAACCACGATCCCAGAATGTGGATCACAGTTCCTCCCTTTTAAGAGCAAGCTAAGCACATAAGCACATGTACATGTATCCCTTTTCAAGGTTGCTTTCTAGTAGTGTAGCTATTATCTATGTCATGCGGAAGTTTGTTGACAATTTAGCCCTCACTCTCACAATCTCACATCCGCACACATGAGACCACACAACTCTCTTGGCCTACAATCCATCCCTAGGCATCTCTCCGACCTCAACAAGGGAAGACCATCTATAAGCCATTTTATAGAGCCTCATGCCCAGGGATAAGGGTTTTGGATATGACCAGGGCCATAGACCGCCTAACCCTTGGTTAGTCAAACACCACACACTCCTATTGAAGTGTATAATCCACTATAAATATTAATTACATGCTTTTATGGCCTTTAAAAGCCACAAACCCAAACAATAACAGCATAAAATGGTATTGCCGAGTAAAAACACATGCACGTTGCTGAAACTGCCCTCTCCATGTCGCATTTGAGTAGACTGAGGGCAGATCAAGGGACTGAGGTGTTTCACATGACTATTTGCTTGATTAACAGGCTTCCATTTAAGGTACTTGGGGGAAATACTCCATTTTTACTACATGAAGTCCATACCAACATTCATGTTTAAGAACTTTTGAATGAATAGGTTATATCCATATTGAGAAATATTTTGAGCAATAAATTTGCATCCCAAGCTGAAATTCACAGGTTTGTCGGCTTTGACAAACACTATAAAGGTTATAGATGTTTCAGCCCCATGTTCTTTTCAATGAACCTTATTTCATGTTATTAGTCTCCCACATGATGAACCCAATACATTACAAGCTGCGCACTTTCGTTATACCAGGCTGGGTATACAGCAGTGTGATCATGAGCAGCAATCAACTTCCAATGGCATTTATCCATCTATCATCTCTAAGCCACAAATAACATCCACTAAACACATTGCTCTTGGCTTCCACATTACCAATGCACGCAATGTTACTACTTCAGCACATAATCAGCACCTCCACCATCAAGATAATCATCCCCATCAACAACATTCTTCCATTTTCATCGGTACACATACCACTAGTGCTCCATCCTCACCCCATAGCTCTCTTCCCAGTTCAGCATGTGCAAATCATGGATCCAATTCCTGGAAACACACAATAACAAAAACCACCTATCATCAATCAATGCAGGGCAGCACTTATCACCTCACATTATACTGCAGGTTCTATTAATACCACACCACCACCTTCTTCGGGCATTGCAACCCCTTCTTCTTCCTCAGCCAAAGCTTCTTAGATGAAGTTTCTCTGGTCCCACTTTGGCAAACGACACGAGTAAGGCACCCATTAAATAAGTGGATCAGCTATGAATCATTTTCCCCTATCAGACTTTCCTCACTACAGTATAACACCATGTAGTACCCAAACACTATCACCACGCTTGTAAATGTCGTTGATGTGTGGAGGCCATGAATTAGAAATGAGAGTGTTGCTTGCATGTACAACCAGGGAGGTTATTGATAAGCCAGCTCATTAAAATGTAATCATTTGTAGATGGCCATATCAGATCGAATACAAAGTTGATGGGAGTACAGAGTAGATTAAAGTGAGACTTGTGGCCGAGGGATACACACATATAACCCTGTTGCAAGGATGGGTACCATTTGCATTGTTTTATCACTAGCTGCAACTTATGGATGGGACCTACATCAACTTCATGTCAAAAATGCTTTTCCCCATGGTGACCTAACGGAGCAAGTTTATATGAAGAAGCCATCAGGATATGACTAAGGCTCTCAGGCTTAAGAGACGATATATGGGTTCAAGCACACCTCTCACGCATGGTTCGAAGCTTCTATAAAGTGGTCATGTGACAGGGATTTATCGGAAGTCCTGTTGATTATTCATTATTCATTAGCTTAGGATATTATGGCCTAACTGTTATAACATTCTTATAACATTATATGTAGATGACATTGTTATCACAGGTAGTTCTCCTTCTCACATCGCAAATGTCAAGAAACTTCTTAATGATACCTTACAGATGAAAGACATTAGATCTCTCTGGTCTTTTCTTGGTATTGAAGCGGATAGAATGCCATACTCCTTGATCTTGACCCAACATAAGTATGTTGTCAACTTACTTAAGGGTTCTGGGATGCCAGATTGCAAACCAACATACACACCTTCTGCCCTTAACTCTCGCCTCAAAGATGATGCAGGGGACCTATTTCCACATCCTGAGGAATACTGTAACATTGCTGCAGCTCTGCAGTATCTGACTTTTACTAGGCCCGATTTTTTTTTTTGTGAACTAGATTTCTCAGTATATGCATTCACCAAGGACAAGCCACAAGGAAGTCATGAAATGCATTCTTCAGTATATCAAAGTGATGATCATGATGGGTGAGCTTGTTTATCCTTGCCCTGCTTTACCCACTTTCACAACATCTTTAGTGGTGGTTGCCTTCTCAGATGTTGACTGGGAAGGAGACCCCGGCACTCGTCTTTCTTTTTCAGAATATTGGGTCCTTGTTGTGTTTCCTGGAGTAGTCGGAAACAATGAACTGTCACTCAATCTAGTACAGAGAGTGAGTACTGTTCAATAACAGAAGTTACAACAAAATTGTTTCGTATACAGTATCTCCTTGCTGCATTAGGCCAAAACATTTCTCATTCATTATTTGGTCATTATTAGATAGTGACAACAGCAGCGCTATCTAAGTATTGTCGAACCCTGTTCCCCACGGCAAAACTTCAGACCAAAAATGTGAAAAAAGGGTATGACTGTAATAAGGGAAATTTTGGGGGGGAATTCTTAAATAACCGAAATTTTGGGGAATATAAGCATAAATTTCTCTTATTTTAACCCCTCCTAAAACCTGCTAGGACTAGGATCATATTAGAACCCCATCAAAACCTAGCTTCATGCACTTTTAATAGCACGGCACTCTTGAAGGAATGGAAGCCAATCCTTTGGGGACCCAGACCACAAGAAATGAGGCAACATCAAAAGGCCAATCTCCACCATGTCTGAGGCATGGAGAAATAGATAAATGGAATTGCAAGCACCTCTCCTTCAGCTATTGGCTCGGTCCCCCGCAGATAGACCATAATGGTTCCATTCTACAACTGGTTGATCCATTATTGTCAGGTTTCCAACCCTCTAAAACATAAATATGAGCAACAAAAGACAACTCAACCTTGTAGATTAGAGAAACAAAAGCCACTTGATCAAAAGCCGCTTTGTGACATAAAGATATTCATTTCACACCAAATACACTGTTTAGAAAACCTTTTTTTAAAAAAAAAAAATGAGAAATACACAATGTTAGTGACTACAAAGGTTGAACTTTTTGCAGGATCCGAACATTGTATATCAATCCCAAAACTAGTAAGCAAAATAACCTCTGATTTCCCTTATACAGGCACCATCTTAAATATGTAATGCAATTTTACCTTACAGCACAAGGCTCGTTCCGACCTTTCACAACACACTCAGGATCATACTTTTCTTTCTTTCTAGAAGACCACATGGATTTCACAAAACTTATCCCAGCATGGGTATTTCTTATCTCACAATATGGTGAATCCGTCTCTATCATCATTCTCTCAACTGGAATGCCAGAGATAGCATCAAGATTTTCAGTAGTTTTGAAAGAGCATCCATTTACACCTGTTGAACATAGGTCAGAGAGAGAGAGAGAGAGAGAGAGCTATATGAGCCGCAATGTACTTTTTTCCAGTTCTTTTCAAAGTTAACAAAGAATCATATTAGAGAAGAACATAATATGATTCTTATGGGATACAACTCATAAATTAAAGGACGGAATGAGTTCCTCAAAACAAATTAAATGAGATACAAAAAATAAAAAACTCCCTGTGTTTTTTTTCTCATTGATAGTTCCCCATTAAGTGTACATGTGCAACAAAAACACAGCCTCCTAACCAAAGTATCCTTGTAGACAACTAAATAGTAAAACAACCATTTAAAAAGGGAAAAAAGATGACCAATTTATCTTGAAAAAAATGCAATTGTGATGAATAATACCATCACAACAAGTCTAGTTCCACATAAGATAAGTAAACTGATAGAAGAGTAATCAGTGGCCTGATTCATTTGATAAATCATCAGAATATAATAAACCACCTACATACTATACAATGCAATTACTCTAATTCCATGTGCTCCAAGAAGTGAGTTGTCTCCACATGAGTAATTACCAATATAGAGGTTATCAAACAATAGCAGCAGATTGCGATCATCTACACTGCCAGTGAATGAATGCGCAACCCCAGCAATGAACCTGTAAAATAACTTGAAGACATTAAGCTGCATTTTTTTTCAAAGCCTCAAGTCGCTGTTTTGTTCCTATTTTTACTTTCTCATTATTAATTATCATTATGTAACATATATCCAATACATAAGACTTTGGAGCGTCATGTTGCCATTCATGATTGAATTCACGATTAGTTTACTATGCATTCTTATAAGTAAGAATCCAATTCGTGTTAGTAAGAATGCAGATTGAGAACAACAATGCTGACAATGGGATGTAACCCTGATAGGTTCATTGAACAATGAGTAATTAACGTCTCACGTGTATTGGCATATGACATCTTAAAAGGAAGACATATGCCCCTCAAACAGGAGATAAGCAAAAACTAATGGTTTATCCCAAGTCCCACATCCACAACGAGAAAAGCACAACGATCAAACAATATATAACATTTCCTCCAGATGAGAAATCAAAACATAAAATTCTCCAATCCAAATGGACTAGCAAACTTACCGTGTCCTGTTCCGATCTAAAATTTCACAAAAATCTTGAGCAGCAGCACGCATGTGCAGAAACATTGGAAGTTTCAAGGCCTCAGCCAATTCAAACTGCTTTTCAAAATACCTATAAAATTATAAATGTTAAGCCATTAAAAACAAGATGTCAAAAAATATCAAAGAAAATTTATCAAGTATACTTTTTTTGGATTTCGGACGGGCAGAAGTGAAGTCGGTCATAGTCCAATCCACATTCACCAATTGCAACCACCTGGATAACAGGATTGTCAGAAAATAAAGATCTCAAGGCAAAACCACTCTACATGGTATATGACACATGTACAAACACACAAAACTTGAGGAATTATGTTTATGATCTTGTTCAGTTCATATAGATAGTTGAGAACACCTTTGTGTCTTATTTGTCAGAAATGAGACATGTGATTTGTGTCTTGCCACGAAGCACTTAGTGCATGAAATTCCCTGAGAAGACCACAACCTTTAATTTAATGTTCACATGATCACTAGATATCATGAAAGTAGTGGCTATGTAGAATTCCATAGTATAAATTCAATTTTTTCCCCTTTTCTTCATTGATTTTGTTGAGTTTTGTAGCCTTTAAAGGCCTAGAGAGCTTGTAAAAATGATATTTTATAGTGGAATATGCACTTCAATGGGAGTATGTGCGTTGATTGATTAAGGGTTGGACGGTTTATGGCCCTGGTCATGTTCAAAACCCTTGGTCCTGAGCATGTGGCACTACCGAGAAGGGTTTGCAGTGAGTCATCCTTTGCTGAGGTCGGAGAGATACCCAATGATCATATTTATAGGCCAAGAGAACTGTGTGGTCTCATGTGTGCAGTTGTAGGCCTATGAGAACAAGAGCCAAAACCTCAACAAACTTCCACACGACATGTACCCATGACAACCACATTACTAGGAAGCAGCCCTATAGAGAGAGCCCCTTTTTGCACTGTGGTGACAAGTACTAGACTTGCTCTTAAAAAGGGGGAACTCAAATCCACATTCCAAGATTATAATCCCACTATTTATTATCCAACTTTGACAAGCTAATCATGAGCCCATGCAAGGAGACTAGGGTCATGGGACTTTATTGGGTTGGATAAGAAAACGGTATTGGATGGAGTGCCGTTATTGTCAATCATTTTAACCCATTGGTGTCAGTCCAAATCAAGTGTATTTTATTTTGGTATTAGAAATGTTTTTATGATTTTAAATATTTTTCTAAAATTTTAAAATATTTTAATTATTTAATTTTCATTAAAAAGGTATTTCTGAAATTTCAGAACTTTACACAACACATGTGGGGACCAAGGATCCTGCCCCCACATGTGTGTGCTGCCTACATGGGCTCTTAGGGTGGCACACCACTTTCTATGCACCTTGGGGGGCCACGCCACCCTTTTAGGACTGTAAGCACCTAGGGGGCGCCACGCCATCTTTTTAGGATGTCTAAGCCCCTAAGGGCCACGCCACTTTTTGTGGAACAAGGGGATACGCCCCATTTTCTTGAAATAAAATAATAAGTTAAAGATTTTTTAAAAAAATAAGTGGCACACCACTTATTTAGGAGAAAAGGGGCACGGCCCACTTTCTTGTTTTTGTTAATTCAAATTTTAAAGTGGTTAACGATGGGAAATTTATTTAATTTTAAATTGGATTTGGTTTCCTATTCTAATGGGATTGTTTAAAAATTCAAATCTTCCTTGATTATAGGAGGCTTAGATTATGTTTAACATTGATTGTATTTTCAAATTTAAATAGGAGTTTCAAATTTAAATAGGAGTTGGATTGGGTCAAAGTGTAAAGGGATAAGATTCGTATCTTTCCACCCAAAATCATTATGGCTAATTTTTGAGATGGATGCTCTGATTAAATCTCCTCTTGCCACAGATTTCTCATTTATCCTAAAAGGCTAGCTGGAAATTGGATAAGGCAATACTTAGAAGGAATCCTATTCAAATTAGGAGATAGATTTTCTTCTATAAAAGGCTCTAGTTTGAACCTCTTTCGAACACAATTAGATTCTCTCCCTCTCACGCCACTAGGGCTGCCAATGGACAGGGCCCGTCCCGAGGCCCATAACTGTTCCGGGCTGGCCCAGTAGGCCCGAAAAAGTGCACTGAGGCCCGCGCTCAGCCCAATAGGCCCAAAAAAGTACACAGGAGCGCATCCAACATTAATGTACTCTCTGTCTCTCAAGCAAGAAAGAAAAAATTAGGATGAGATGACTACGTCTCTTCACCCCCCTCTCTCTCTCACTCTAAAACAGAGCACAATCATGCCTCCCTCTCTCTCAAGAAAGGAGGTGCAACATAATCTCCCTCCTCTTTCTCTCTCTCTCTCAAGCAGAACACAATCAGAATAACTTCTCTGTCACAAGCAAAGCACAATCAGTACAACTTCTCTCTCTCAAGCAAGGTCATCAATTGCAAGGTCATTAATCCTCCACCAATGAATCACAAATGCTAATAAGCCTCTCTCTAAGAAAGCTGAGCAAAACCACCTAAAAACCCTCCAACTTAAGAGAATTGGGTTTTATTTGCTAGTTAGAGAGAGATGGATATGGAGGTTTTGGGTCTTTCAGAATAATGGGCAGCAGTCTGTGCCCTTCTTGCCATTGCTCAATGGTGGGCTTTTAATGTCACTGTTATTATCATGAACAAATGGATCTTTCAGGTTCTACTCATAATTGTGGATTATTGTCAATAAGGTTTTGGTTGATGAAGTTGGCTTTTGTTCATTTTGTTATTTTGTTGGGAATGTACTGTATTGTTCGAATTTTCCCTAGTTCGGAATGATTTGATTGTGATTTTTCATGGCTTGGATTGGATTTTTTGAAAATAATACATAAAATCTGTTATCAACAAAATTCTTCTAAATCTCAGCAGAGTTTTTCAAATTGAATTCACTTTTTTATGAGAGAGGGGTTTTTAGAGAGAGAATGGGATATTAGGTTTTTAGAGAGAGGTTTTAGAGATACAAAGAGAAAATAGAGAAAGCGATATTGGGTCTTAGAGAGAGAGAGATATTTGGTTTCTAGAGAGAGAAAGAGTGGATTTTAGAGGGAACTTGGGTTTTTAGAGAGAGATTGAGTTTTGAGAGAGTTTTAGAGAGATTGGATTTTTGTAGAGAGAGAATGGGCTTTTAGATATAGAAGAGATTGAGATTCTAGAGAGAGTGGTTTAAATTTTTAAAAATATTTATATATATATATATTTTATTTTTTATTTTGCTTTACTATACACATTAAAATTTTGAAGAGTGAAGCTCTTATTTAAAAGAAAAAAAAAAAAGGCATGTTAAATGGGCGGGGTTGGGCCTTATTTGGGCCAAGACGAGACATTAACGGGCTAACCAGGGATAGCCTGGCCCGCTAGACAAATTTCAGGCCTATCAAGCCCGGCCTGATAACAATTTGTGTTCAAAATGACTCGGCCAAGTCCTGTCCATTGGCAGCCCTGCACACCACCCTCTCTTTGGTTTTATGCCACCCTCTCTCCTATTTCTCCATGCCATTCTCTCTCCTCTTAGAGAGAGTCACATCTCTCTTTTTCTCTCTCCTTATTTGAGTAGCATCCATTAAAATAAAAAAAGGAGAATTTTTAAAATTAAAAGAGAGAGTTGTTGTATTTTGAGAAAAGAAGGGAGAAGTCCAGCCTAGAGAGAGATCAAATCACAGATTCAGCCCTAATTCGTTCCCATAGGGTTTCTATAAACCTTATTATATTTTTGAGCTCTCTAAAAACCATAAAGAAAGAAGTATTTCCTAGAAAGCTTCCCTGAGTTGTATCAAATTCTGGTAGGGTAACTACAAGAATCTTCCAGTAAGTCTTTCCAGTAGTTTTAAGTTAATTTATAGTATTATTTCCTATTTTCTATAAATTTTCAGAAACTTATTTTGTGCTAAATATTATAGTGGAAGTTAGTTTTAAGGTCCTGGATAGTTTTGATTTCTATTGGCAGTGAAAATAAGGATACTAGGTTGTATCTAGGGCATTATTTTAATTTTCCAGCAACATATTGTGGCTCATGTAAGTAGAATTCAGGTATTTAAAATAAAACTAAAAGAAAATTTTTTGAATTTAATACCTTGAGTTCCACATAACCACTCCTTTCAGATTTTGCTGGAATTTCTACTTGCAATTCCCACAATACAATGCAGAAATAAAACCTACTACAATCTAGCATCTTTAAGCCTTACTGCCAAGAAAAATTTATTCAAATCTGAATTTGAACCAACAAGTTAGGAAATAAGATAAAAACAAGAACAACAAATAAATAAATAAAAACTGGGAAGACTTACTCAACTTTTGCCTAGGGTGATCTCCTAAGAACTTGGTATACCCCGCACCTGATCACTTGATCGATGGCACACTTAAATCTTAGATCTTGTTGAACAGGGAGAATGATGATGCGCAACGTGCCTCAAGTGGTCAGGGCGATGTGTATCTTCTCCAGGAGCAGCAGATTACCACCTAAATCTTGCGCATACTTCGATGATGTAGACCCTAGGAGGGCTATCAAGAAGAACAAGAAGAGAGAGCATTGATTGGGATGATTACTAGTTATTTTATGGTTATTTTCAGTCATTTTATTGAACCAGTCCATACTTTTTAGTCATTTTATCTATGGTGCCATTTATTTTAAAGTTACTATAATTTAGGATGGATTTAGTCATTTTACTTTGGTGCTTAACCTAAGACATAAGGGTCAATTTCTTATTTGTATGGAAAATAATGTCTTTTGAATATTAAATAAAGCATATTAAAGTGGTGTGTGGGGCTCTTGGAGGATCCACATGACTTTTTTTTTTCTGAAATAGAGAGTAAAAGCATCAAGCTTTTAAGCCCTAGCTTGGGGTTGGAGAAGAAACCCTAGGTTTCTTCAAATGTTTCTTCGAATAGATGGTTGTGTTTAGCTTCTTTTCTTGTTGATTCTACTGTTTCCATTAATTATCCCACATGAAGACCTTATGCCAATTATTCAGATGCAAAGCTATTATTGGGGTGAAAGGGCAATTATGTTAACCTTCTCTCAAAAAAAAAAGACCTTAGGGCAATTGGGGTGAATGACATCTAACAACGCTAGCCTTAGCACAGTTGTTACAGCTTCCTCAAGGCCTGCTAGATCTTGCAACTCTACCGGGATAGAACCGCAAAAGAACATCTGACTAGCCTTATGGTTTTCTTTTATTTTCTCCCAAGCCCCTTGGCTGTGGGAGGAGATTCTTACCTGCATGAGCTCAAAGAGACAAATAAAAAAATTCCCTAATATGGAAAAATAAAGTTATGACCCTAAAATCCCACTTATTTCATAGTAACCCCCACCTTTTATTCTTATCAAGAAAGCATTAGGAAGTTCATAAATATTTCATTCCACCCTCTTCAAGTATCCCTACTGTCCTTTTTTATTTTAATCTTAATTATGTGCCCCAAACTAATTCTCCAATGACACTCATGTCCTTTCTCTATCTATCCTCTTTATTTCTTATTTCTCAAAACCCATAACCTAACCCTTTGCCCATCTCTCTGTTGACACTAGCTCTAGTGGTAGCATAGAGTATGTTGGTGGTGATTCAAGTGCTTTTGTGATTCACAAAAATACAAAGTTGAATTCATGGGTTTTGCAAAATAAGAAATAAAAGAGGGAAGAGAAAAATGTTGTGAGTACCATTTGAGAATTAGTTTGGGGTACTTAATAAGGATTAAAATAAATAAAAAATACAGTAAGGACATTTGGAGGGGTGGAATTAAATATTTGTTAACTTCTTAATGCCATTTGACAGGGACAAAATGTGGGGGGTTACCATCAAAAAAGTCAGATTGGAGGATTACCATCATAAATGATATTTTTAAGGGTCATAAGATACTTTCCCAAAAATAAAAAGTTGTGAATTCCCTCAAGAGAGATAGTTGGGGACAGGGGGTTCTCCTGCCACAAGACTCTCTTCCTTCATTCTGACTCTCCCACTCCCACCATAAAGCTTTATACTTGTCCTTCTCATACCTATTTCCCTTTTGGTTGTGCGTGTTATATTGCAGTTGTCATGCAACTTGAGATAACCTTTCTAGATTGTTAATAGCCTAATAAATGCAGATACACAAGAACAGCCACATGGGGAATCAACATGATGAACATGTTTAATCATCTACTTTTCTGTGTTTATAAGGATCAAGAAATCATCATATGCACAACAACAGTGTACATGTACGTGTAATAGTCAACTAGTCATATGATATATCGATCACATGGATAATTATTATAATAATTTTGCAACAGCCTTTACAGATCTGGTTATAGTTAGAAGATTCAACTGCAACTAGAAAAGAGATAAATTACATAATTTCACACCTTTCCCTTTTCAAGTCCTTCCTTGGCCAGTTCCATGAGAGCATGAAAGTGTTGGTATGGATCTCCACCATCATCAAACTCCTAAATGTATGTGTGACAAATCAAACTAAGTTACTTGACATGGTTTACTGCCAACAATTCAATGTGTGTGTGCATGCTTAAATGAGAAGAGGCAGCTATCTATGCAGTCACCTTGCATCTGGTGGGGTGTACGCCCACTGTGCAATAAAGACGTCCTGTTAGGAAGTAAAACATAATATAGATTAGAATTTGATTGATACAAACTGCGTTGATTCTTCACAAATAAGCACCTAAATTCGCATAAATTCTAATAGATGACAAGTTTTAAAGGGAAAATGAGCAGAGAAGGAAGGAAAAAATCACAAACCAAAGAGAAATCCACCTCCCAAATATTATCAACTCAAATTCTCCAGAGAAACAATAACTGACCTCCTAAACCCTTAAACCCTAGAAAGCTCTTATGAAATCATGACCATCCAATCTATTTAGTCATAGCCAGCCATTATTAACTTTAAAAATAAATGACTAAACATGGCCCTAATAAAATAAAAAATAAGCAAACCCAAATAACCTCCCCTAATTACATTACTGCCCCCTTTTCCCCCCAATGATCCCATGACCCTTTTTTTTCCCAACCACGGGACTAGGTGTTGTAGCTGAGGCATGGCTGCGTCATCCCCCCCCCCCCACAAGTTGAAAGGAACTCAACTCTGGCGAGTTGCCTTCAATATAGAAGCGGTATAATCCACCCTTTCGAACTCTTGCTTGGAGATCCACATACTAACAGAATATGACCTCCCCATCAACTTGACTAGATTTTGGCGATATGAATCCTTTTTGAGTTTGAAAGCTTTCAATCTTCAAAACTTGCTCAATTTCTTCTTCCTTCTTCCTCGGCGATTGTTTCAACATATGGACAACTACTTCTTGGGCTTCTAATGGGTCTCCATTTAAATTCAAATAAATCAGCAACATTGATTAAACATCGGGGAAATATACAACGCCTTTGGTAATTCTATCTCATATGAATTATACCTATATTTCTTCAAAATTCAGGAAGGGGCCACCTTCGTGGACATGAGCTTATCGTAGGTCCCCAATGGAAAACCTACCCTTTCACAAGTACACCATTACTAAATCACCCTCCTTGAAAATCTTCTCTCTTTGATGCACAATTGAAGCCTCTCTAAACTTTGCATTACTTTCATCACTTTTCTTCTTGATTTGCATTTGCAAGTCTCGGCTATGCTCAGCAAAAGCATTGGTATCATCACTTGCCTTGCACTGGTAATAGCATTAGGTCAAGTACAAGATCAGGAATCCTCCCATGAACAATCTCAAATGGTGATTTTCATGTGGACAGATTCACATAAATGGTGTAAGCATATTCAGCAGCAAGATTCCATTGAGATATGTTAATACCAACCATACTCTCAAAAGGTTACCAAGGCTCTTATTCATCACTTCAATTTGCCCATCTGTTTGAGGCTGATAAGCACTAGAAAATTGAAGCTTAGTACCCATGCGCTTCCACAAAGTGCGCTAAAAATCACTCAAGAACTTTGTATCCATACAAAAATCTCCATCATGCATGAGATACTCACCCATGGGGTCTCACCCATTAACACATCTTTCTAGGACCTTACTGTAAATTGGGTCATCCTCCATTGGTCTTTATCATTTCAAACCCAGCACTTCTATAGATAAAGTTCCAAGCAAAGTCGGCTACCTTGTTTTGGGTTTTGGGCTTGTGCTTTAATAAGAAGGTGTATTCTTCAAAGGAAGCAATCCACTTAGCACAACGCGCATTTAACTTCTTCTGGGAATTCAAGTACCGAAGTGCTTCATGATTCAAGAATAGCATAAATTCCCTATGAATCAAGTAGTGCCTCCAATAGAGTAAGGCTTGCACCACAGCATTAAACTCGATATCATATACCGAATACTTCTTATATGCTTCATTCAACTTCTCACTTAAGAAAGCCACGGGTCGCTCCTCTTGATTAAGAACAGCTCAACATTTAATGCATCAGTTTCAACTTTGAACACCTTGGAGAAATATGGTAGTGTGAGTACCGGTGTTTGCATCATTTTTTGTTTAATTAGAGCAAAGCTCTTCTTAACAGCGAGATTCCATGCAAACTTCCTAGCCCTCATACAATCAGTCACTAGTGCTCTTAGAGTGCCAAAATTGCTAATAAAGCAGCAATAAAATGTCAGTCACTAGGCCATGAAAAGAACGTACCTTTGTGAGTGCCTTGGCCCTAGCCACTCAGCTATAGCCTCCACCTTTTCTTGGTCCACCTTGATTCCATCAGATGAAACAACATACTCCAAAAGGATAACATTGTCTGTCATTTTTTTAAATTCACAAAAAGTGATTATTTCCTTAGTACATCAAAAACTTATTCCAAGTCATTAAGATGATCTTGTGGGTTAACACTAAACCACAATGAATTTACCAATAAAAGAATGAAGTACCTCACTCTGTCACTCATTGAGCGCATAAAGGTGCTCAGTGCATTAGAAAGCCTGAATGGTAGCACCAACCACTTATAGAGCCAATCTCAAGTTTTTTAATATGGCATTCCATTCATCCCTAAGACGAATCCAATTTGATGGCAACCACTCCTTAAATCGATCTTTAGAAGACTTTGGCCCCATGAAGCATATCTAACATATCATCGAGCCTATGTATGAGAAATCGGTGCTTGATCGTAATTTTGTTAATCGCTCGATGTCCACACACGTTCTCTAGGAACCATCGTTTTTTTTTGGTTAGTAATGCAGGAACGACGCATGGCGATATGCTTTCTCGAATCAAACTCTTTTTAAGCAAATCAACAACTTGTCTATGTAGCTCTTCATGTTCTATGGGGCTCATTCGGTGTTGGGTCAAATTTGGTAGGCTAGAATCGGGCACCAAATCAATGTGATTCTGACTATTTCCCATTGGGGGAAGACCACCGAGCAATTCTCTCGGCATCAAGTCTTTATACTTCTCAAGTAGAGGCTCTATAGACTTAGGAATTTGAAGTAGATACAAAATTTTCTTTCGCAAACAACACATATATTACATCCATCTCGTTGTTGCCCCTTTTAATTTTTAGGGAAAATACATCCATATCCCCTATTTTTAAATTTTATTTCTTAATAAACCCAAGGTTTCAAAAAATATTTTCAACCCCATGGCCACTTTAAACCTATTTTTTAACCTAAACAAATGTGAGAAAGACATGCTCTTTCTAAACCCAATCCCTTCTCTCTCTTCATTATATACCCCAAACTTCTCTCTTTCTCTCTCTTGTTGCGTGTTTCACTCTCCTCCCGTGTTTATCCAAACACCTCTCTCTTCTCGTGTTTATCCAAACACCTCTCTCTCTTATCGGTAACCTCTCACCACCAAGCATCTCTCTCCTTCCGTGTTATCCAAACACCTCTCTCTCTCTTCCTATGTTTATCCAAACACCTCTCTTTCTCTCCTCCCGGTAACCTCTCACCACCAAACACCTTTCTTTTCTTATATTTATCCAAACATCTCTCTTTCTCTCTGTATACTTATTATGTGTTTGGCAAGAGAGAGTGCGAGGGTAGAGAGATGAAAAACATTAAGAGAGAGAGCGAGAGGAGAGAGAGTGAATGGTTAGAGATGGGAAACATATAGAGAGAGAGAAGGGATGCAGCAAGAGAGAAAGAGAGAACTTTGGGAGGATGGATTTTAAAAAAGATATCTTTTTATATTTGTTTGGCCTAAAAAAATAGGTTTAAAGTAGCTCAGGGAGTTAGAATAAATAAAATCTACAATTTTTATGCTCCAAGATATATTTTAAAACCTTGGGTCTATTGTGAAATGAAACCTAAAAATAAGGGGTATCGAGACATTTTCCCTAATTTTTTATACATTAAGCAACTTTAAACCCGCCTCTTTACTAGATTTGAGTGTAGGAAGTTGCTTCATAGAGTGGAGTGTGACGTTAATGCCATCCATGACAAAGGAATATGTGTTTGGTCTGGTCTTATGCACTAGATCCTAGTCATAAAACCTTGGCCTACGAAGTAAGATGTAGCATGCATCCATGGGTGCTACATAACACCACATTTATCTTTAAAATTAGCACCAATGGAAAAAAATAAAAAATAAACTTTGAGTAAGAACCGGTACCTAACCTCCTTTCTTGAACTGTTGAATTTGATATCGGCATGGCTTGTGCCCTTTTAGTTTAAGTTTATCCACCATCTCCCTAGACATAATATTTTCACTACCCCCGCCATCAATTAGTATTCTACATAACTTGTCGCCTAATATGCAAGTAGTTCAAAAAACGGTGTCACAACCATTTATCTTCATTAAATGGTTTTGAATTGATATCATAATCTGCTAGACAACCAAGGTTTCACCCCCTTCACCTCCATACAAATCCTCACCTTGAGAGGATCAACCACTTCATAGGATGGGCTTGTCTCTATGTCACCCTATCCCTCGTAACCATGCTCTTCAACAGCTTCTCCATAATTTTCTTCTGCCAAATCAACTTTGATGCCAGGTTGACATGAAGGGCAACTATGTGCGCTATGCCTGCGTTGAGGGCACATGAAACACACAATTTGACTATTTATGTAACTCCGAGAATCAAGAAAGCTCCGACGAAATCCAGTCCATCCATTCTATTTAATTAACCACCCATCAATAAATGACTAAACTTGTCCCCAATAAAATCAGAAATAACAAGAAATAAAAATAAATAAAGACCCAAACAACTTCTCCTAATTATATTACTGCCCCATGGTCCTCCGACCCTTCTTTGCCCAGCCACGAAATATGGTTGTGGCTCAGGCATGGCCGCGTCATTGATTCATTAGAAAATGGATCAAAACAGTGTGTTGCTGATGAGAAAACTGGGAAAAAAATCCAAATATTATAGCAAGATTGAGGAGCTCATAAGAGATTCATGGAACAGCTGAACAAGTGTATATAGGAGGGCCTAATATAGTACCATCTGTTTCCGCAATGGCCAGCGCCTCCTTGGACTCCTCAAGGGAACCACCAGTGACCTTCTTCATCAAAAACCAAACAAAGGAAATGGGATCAATTCAATACAATTCAATGTCATCGCCACCTAACAATAAATATAAAGATTTAGGGAGAAAATTAAAATACTGACAATAATGCGATCTACTCCAGCAGTCCATGCCCTTTTGAGGACGGTATGAATATCAGCAGGGTGATAATGCTTGCCGTTGTACATCCCTTTAAACATGCCATCTGATCCACCACCATGATCCACCCATACAATGGATTCCCCGTTATTCCATTTCCACAACCAAGTGGATATGTAGTTCTAGGGTTTCTATCTTTTAAAATTTTATTTTACTAACGAATACAGATGCAGAGGGAGAGAGGGCACCTGTTAAGTTGACGGCTATATCTGAAAATACGAGGTGGAGGAGGAGGAGTTAGTTGAGATGAGAAACAGAAGAAGAGGAGGGAGTAGTGCCGATGCTTGCCTATCATCCTCACGCCTGGGGAGGTCTCCATCGCTGCCTGCCACTGCTCAATTGAATTGACGATGCCCAATTCCATTCCCTATCCCTATCCCTATCCCTATCCCTGGCACTTTAAAACTGAACCCCGCTTCGATGATTAGTAACGCTATTGTTGATAACAAGCATATTATGCCACGAGTGCATACGCTCCTTTTTGCTCAAACCCATTGATTACTAATCTACTATTCCATGGAAAAAGCTACCTTAAAATGTGCTCGACATATATGTATGGAATTTAAAAAGAAAAAAATTAAATTCAAAAAATATTGTATCTTACAAAACATTATCTAGACCGTTTATTTTTTAAAAATTTATATGTTTATAGATCTACTTGATTTTAACTATTTTTTAAGTTTAAAATTTTATAATTAGATATAAAAATAGATTTTAAGATGATCCTATAAATTTTTTATACCAAAATTACATTATAATAAAATCTAAAGGTGCGCCTTAATTGGATTGTTTAAAGTCGAAACCTTCTCAAGGCCACACCCATTTATATATGTTTTCCTTCCATGCTTTGGTAGCGTCCATCTCACTATTAATGACGTGTATTCAAGATGCCACATCATGTGATATTGAAGCTTCGCCAAATGAGTCTGTAGGGATTGTGCCCAACACCTTCTCTTTTGCTAAATATGAAAATTGATTGTATACAATGAGACTATATATTTGTGGTCACAATTTTTTATGATTATTTAATGTGAAATTTGATAGCTTTGTTGTGTTATAAAGTTCGAAAAAAAAATTATTTCTTTACAACCATTTAATGTGAAATTTGACAGCTTTGATGTGTTACAAAGTTCGAGAAAATTTTTCTTGCTATCTCGCTTCTTCTTGGTTATACAACTTCATCCTTATTGTTTTTTCTTTTCTTTTTTTTGAAACGGATTCATCATTAGTTATTGCTTTCTTTGGGTCATTATAGGTATCTTATTCATTGTTCTTTTATAGAGGATTACACTATCACATAATTCACTATCTTTAGATTCAATTATTGTGATCGAACTTGTTTGTGAAAAATTGTATTCTTGTTATTTTGCTAATCTACCACAAATACACATCTAAATGTTTTTTGCTCTAATATGTTTATTTCCAATTCAATAAATCTTATGGTTTTTTTTTTTTCCACCCTTATCACTTCTTAGTTTTTTAAAAAAATTATGAATATGATTTTCAATTTCCTATTTGTAAATCTTAAATTTCTTAAAAATTATATCTTTAAACCTTAGCAAATACACATATGTCTAACAAAAATAATCATCTATGACTATGATGAATTTTTTTTTTTTCCCCACCTGTGCATGCATTTTCGATGTAGGGATGGGAGCGAAGGAAAAATAAAAATAGAAAAGCAAATGGTAAGAGAGTATCCCCTTTTTGAGGTCCGCAAGGTAGTCTACCCCCAAACAATATTTTTACAATAACCTAAAAAATAATTATTTGTCTCTTCTATCTTGTTGTCGCTTGCATATTATAGAATAAAATTTATAAAATCTAACTTGTTTGTTAATAAATCCTAATTACAATTAAATATCAACTTTATCCCTTAGTTCTCCTTGATCGAAAAGGGCACAGATACCCTAACTTAAGTAAATAAAAGAGCATGTAACCATTACCTAACTTTTATATCCATGACAGTGGGAAATAAAGAATTGAAAACCCATTAAATCATTCTCCTTGTAATGGGAGAAACTCGACCGCGAACTTATTATGTCCATAACCCACATGAAAAAAAAAAAAAGAACAAGTAAAATGCAAGATAATATATGATAGCAGGGTAAAGGGAGTCCACATGAAAAAGATAACTTTTACAATATCGAAAAAAAAAAAGTTCTCACCTCTTCTCCCTTTTTGTCAAACAGTTAGAAGAAAAATCCTAAAACCCAACTTGTTTTTTAAGAAACCCTAATCAAAATCAAATTATAGCCATTCGTTTATTTAAAATTAAACTTCAAACTTTACTATTCAACTATCTACAACTAAAAATGACACATACATCATAAATTTTTGACACTTTTATACCATAGGAGTGTGCCCATCACCTACATATAGCACACTAGTGGCATCTAATGTTACATGTTGGTGATGTCACACCTCATATGAATGATATCGCATCTATCATAAAAACAAAAAGCACACTTGTAAATTTATCCGTGTACAAAATAAGGGATATAAGAGTAAAAAATTTGTCGAGTACAATAATAAAATGCTCTATAGTGTGAGCACCTGAACATGACCATATCACATAAAACTAATATTAGTATTTAGAAAAATGGTAAAGTGAACAAAATTAAAAACTTTTAATTTTACTTAATTTTTTTGGGATTGGGAGAAGTACGATATCGAGCTTGTTGTTCTAATTGTATCTTTCCAAGGCCACTTGAATTACTTGTGATTAAGTATTATCATTTGCCTAAATATATTGTCTTCTTCAATTAATCAATAAATCAAGATAAATTTATCAAAATAAATGTAGAAGATGAACTACTTAACGTTTACATATATATTTTTATTTATTTTAAAAATATCAATCGAAAAATAGAGGACCATTGGTTGGAAAAGGTAAACTATTAAATTGTTGAAAAAGTCAGGCTTGTTTTAGTAACTTTTTCATTAATCAAGTACTTCATGGCAATTTGCAGTGGAGCCCTATATGTTAATCACAATTTTGATTTTTCTTTCAAGCTATTTATTTGATTTTTTTTTTTTGACAAAGTTACATAGGAATGAAATTTAAAGTCGATAATGGAGCTTGATTCATCCCTAAAAAAATTGAGAAGCATCACAATTTCGGAGCTCCAAGTGCAACAAATTTGTTGATGAAGGGTTAGGGAATCATGACAGAGATGCTAGATGATGAATGCGTTATATGTTACAATACAAAGATGGCGACTAGAGTAGGGTCGCAGCACTATGTCAAACTGCGCGAGCTTCAGTTATTGAATAGTTGACATGGGTCTCATTCAAAAACAATAGAAGATAAAAGCAAAATAGACATGGACCGGATTGATATTATTTATTTCCGTTTATTCTACTGGCTCGAGTGAGGGGACGTCAGCAATAGATGGATGGATGGATGGATGGATGGGTTGGCGGTGAGGTAGCGTAGCCTACGAAACCGCTTAACCTCTCTTCCATCGCGCCGTCCGTCAGCACGGACACCAACTGACGGTGTCACCACATTTTTACGGTTAACGACAAGGATGGCCGTAAGCGGAAGGGAGACGGACCTACCCATACATACATACATGCATGGGATCTTCAGTATGTTAAGGGTGTAGTTTGTGTAAGGTTGGGGCTCTAAACAAGCATATTTGTTTTTAATCAGTAAGAATATTTGTGATGGCCTAAAAATATATTTTATATTTAATTATAATATTTAAAATTCAAAAAATAATATAAATCTATAAATATTTTTAAATATTAAAAATTAACAGTCAACATAATATATTACAAGATAATTTTTTTCTCACATTATACATCCCGTGGTTAAGACGAACGATTTGAGGGTTTTTCAACATCAAAATAATATATTATAATGAATTTTTGCATTGCGCTTTAGTTTGATTGTTCAGAACTTGAACTATTTCCTATTTTAATTTTAACCAACTTTAGTGACGCGTGTGTTGTAATAATAATGCATGGTAAACTTGATGAAAAGGTAAGATAAAAAAATAAATTGAACTTGAGACGAGCAAAACGTAGCCCCCGGTGGAGAGAGACACATATACATACATACATACATAGAGAACAAACAATAGTAGTGGTGGAAGAAGTAGAGAGAGAAGAGGTGGGGGTGGAACGGGTATTTTCGGGCATTGAGATTTTCTCGTCCACTTCGTGTGTTTGTTGTTCATTCCTGCTCCTGTTTCTCTTCGATTCGAGGGTGGTAAAAAGAAAAGAAAGAGGGCGGCGGTTTTGATAGGCCTCCTCTTCGGCCGTGTTCGTTTGTTCGTTGGTTGTGTAGAGAGAGAAAGAGAGAGGTAGGTCTCGCTCGCTTGGCCCTTGTGTTGTTGTGATCCAGAGGACGTCACTCCTCCGCCGTAGCTTGGGTCTTCTTCTTCATCCACCCTAATCCAATAATCAGTCTCCTGATCTACCCTCTACTTTGCGGGAGCCTTCTTACCGTCATCAATTTTCTGCGTTTTGTGTGGGCGATTGACCCAATCAAATCCATCATTCCAATTGAAGAATTGAATCTTGACCTTCTCTTTCTTTCATGGAAAGAGGGTTTTGAGGTACAGGAGAAAGATTCAATTATTTCATTAATGGGTAGCAGTGAATTATCCTGTCTTAGAAAATGCCCTCTTCCTTCCATTATCATCTTTGTTTGATTGAGAAGAAGGAAGAGGACAGGAGGCAAAGGCCACTGATATCATCGTCATCATCATCAACAACATGGACGTGGATTCAACCATGGGGACAGAGAACGAGCAGCAGCAGCCACGAGATCACAGCTCTTCTCCTGCTGTTGATGAACATCAACAGCAAGCAGAGCAGGAGCATGAACAACAAGAGCAGCAAACCCCTTCACTGCCATCATCATCCGCTGCTGCAGCAGCGCCCTCATCTCCACAGCTACAGGCGGCAGCGAGCGTGATGGGTCCAAGGCCGGCCCCGACATACAGCGTGGTGAACGCCATCATTGAGAAGAAAGAGGACGGCCCTGGCCCCAGATGTGGCCACACCCTCACTGCTGTTGCTGCCGTTGGAGAAGAGGGAACCCCCGGGTATATTGGGCCGAGGCTCATCCTCTTCGGAGGTGCAACTGCCCTGGAGGGCAATTCCTCTTCTACAGCCCCCTCTGGACCCCCTTCATCCGGTGGAAATGCTGGCATCCGTAAGTTTCTCTTTCTCTCTCTCTCTCTCTCTCTCTCTCTCTGTCTCTCTCTGTCTCTCTCTGTCTCTCTCCAATCTGTTAATCTAAATCTATGTCTTCTCAATGGGTAAATGTAGTAGTTTATTGTCTTTGATGTCCTTGCATCTCCTCCCAAATTACATATGCTTGAATATGTCTTTCAAGCTTTCAATTGCTACATCGCTTATCATTTTGCTTTGGTGCTGCATTCACTAAAAGATGATGAACAAAAACAAAATAATGGAGAGCGCATAAACATCCATCCGTGATAGATTGGCGTCCTCCTTGTTCATATTGTACAATGCACCATTTTGTTTATGATGAAAAATAATTCTGCTCCTATCTTTATGAGAATGTTCTTCGTGCAGGTTTAGCAGGCGCAACTGCTGATGTTCACTGTTATGATGTCTTGTCTAATAAATGGTCGAGGTAATCTTCCTAACAAGCTGGTGTTCAGCCCCAAATTGCTATCATGTATAAATGGGAGAAGCTGCTCCTCAAAGCTTGTTCACTAAATTAGTATCCAGAAATAGAAACAATACAAAATAATTTGTATGTGAGATGAGGCCCTGCCTTACCGTTTTTAGTTTCATAGAAATAGCAATTAGTAAGGTTTTAGTGAGTACAATAGTTTGTCTTTATGCCTTTCTTACTTTTAAATCATCTCTCTCTCTTGCCGTTCTCTTCCCCGGTGGGACTGCTCATTGTCAGACAGTCCCATCTAATGTTCCAATTTCACCTATGTTGCTGAGAAACAATCAATTTCATATAATTTGAAAATTCAAAAATCCTAAGTTCTCTTTATCTTTAAGCTTCTTTGAGCTTGAATTAACTCAAATATTTTTTAGGTCAGGCAAGCATTACATGTTGCTACTTCATTTATCCCAATGGAAACTTAGTGGTCTTTTGTGCTTTTTGTGAACTTTGTTATTGTAGACTCACTCCACTTGGAGAGCAGCCTTCACCCCGGGCTGCACATGTGGCTACTGCTGTGGGTACTATGGTAGTCATTCAGGTAACTATACAGTTAGCTAATGAGTTTGCTAAATATTATTTCCATATCCATATTCTGTTAGCTGGGGAGGACTCTTTGTAGCTTAGAAAGAAGGATTATAAGCAACTTCAACCAACCAACATTTCTTTTTTGGGTCAATTACAACGCAGGGTGGCATAGGTCCAGCTGGTTTATCTGCAGAGGACCTACATGTTCTCGATTTGACGCAACAGAGACCACGGTGGCATAGGTTGTATTGTCCGATCGGTTTGCACTCTCTTTACCTTTTCTTGTTGTTTTTGTTTGTAATTTTTTTTTTTGGGTTCTTATTGAAATGGATTTCCATGTCGATCAGGGTAGTTGTGCAAGGTCCTGGCCCAGGGCCGCGTTATGGACATGTGATGGCTTTGGTAGGGCAGCGGTTTCTTTTGGCCATTGGTGGAAATGATGGTAGGGCATTGTTCTTATTTTCTTCGATTGCACATCCTTTTGACCTGATCAGGTGAAGTAACCTTCATTGCATGTTTTTCTTTTTATTTATAGGAAAACGTCCTTTAGCAGATGTTTGGGCATTGGACACAGCTGCGAAGCCATATGAATGGCGAAAATTGGAGCCAGAGGGAGAAGGCCCCCCTCCATGCATGTGAGTTGTCCATGGGCCTTATTTGTTTTGAATACATTTTGAACGTAGTGCGGTGTCTGTGCATGTCATACATGTTCCAAAGTCCAAACAACATCTAGGCTATTGGAATACATGCGGTCATACTAGCATTTTTTATATTCACTCTTTGTAATCATTGAAAAGTAGATTTTATTAATGAAACAAGTGTACCAAAATAAAGTAGTAAACTCTCCTGTTAATACAACAAAAGGAAAGAAATGCTCCCATTAATTCTAGATCTTTCATCCAGCAATCTGGGCTTTTTTTTTTCTCTGCCATGTTTCAAAGTGGAAACATTCTTAGACTTTGTTTTCCTTTGTTAATTATAAAACATGATCATCATGACAGTATTTGGTCTTAGATAGTGGATGTTGGTTTGTATATTGCTTTAATCCTTGTTTTGTTTTGAAAAAATATGGGTTCGGGTTGAGTGCAAAGCTGCATTGTCGGCTATTGGGTGCAACTGGATCACTAATGTATAACACAGTTGTACTTGGGAAGGTTGTAAAATGTTGATCTTATCATGAAGTGGTTTATGGTTGATGGATAAGGCATTGAAGACTTGGTAAATTTCCTCGTTGATTTGAGGGCTGCCAAATAAGACGGATCAATTGAGTGTTGATTGAATACCCCTAGAATGAAATCCTTGATTGAATACCCCACGACTGAAGCGTTTATAAAATAGAAAATGGAAATAACATGGGAGGCTGTATTTTGTTCTGGAACATTGAAAACTAGAAGATCATCATGGGTTAATAAATGAGTAAATGACTGAATGTTGTTATGTTGGTGGTATCCAAGAATGAAATACAGATCGCTGACACCTGATAAGAGTACCTAGATCTTGATCATGGTTACAAGATATAAATCATAACATATGTGATTAGTAAAAACAAAATAAGCCCGTCATGCATTACTATGTGGAGATCTGAGGTTACAGAGAAAGGAGAAATAGATTATCAAAAAAGAACATGTGAAACGGAAATTGGAAGGCATCATCCTATATATGAGAAGTAAAAAAGTAAGAAATGATTATTTGTGGATGGTTGAATTATTTATATGATCATATGTTTGGTAAATTTGGTAGTTAAGAATAACTGAAGACGTGAGGTAGTGGGTTCTATCGCACATGACAGACTTTGTGGAATGTTAACTACAAAGGAAAACATATGGAGAACGAAATTGCAGTCGTGAAAGGTGTAAAGAAAAATACCTAAGCCTGGACATAGTGCTCAGCAGGACAAAGTGTAGCCCAGCAGTCGAAGCTAATATCCAAAGATAATCTTACAGACTGGGTAAAGTCCGTAAGATATATGTTGGGCTGGTGAACAACTGTGGCTCGTCCAAGACAGAAGCCACGTTCTGCTGACGAGTCTCAGGCTGTTCTTGCAGTCTCTCGTAGGCCCGTAAGAGTCAAAGGTAACTTCCTTAGTGTTATTAGACGGGAACAGAGGCAACTAACTTGAGGATGCTTAGTGCGTTATGAAAAGCATATTAATGTTAATAGTAGCTGTATAAATTTGATTCCCCACTTATTTAGGGAAACAAATGGGTAGACTGTAGCAGGATTTGTTAGAAAATTGCTATTTATTGGGAATAATTTTCTGACACATGGCTTCTATCTTGAAATATGCATGTCACACGGCATGAGGTTAAGGCACCCCACATAGGGGTACTCTATAATTAGAAAAAAAAAATTCACGAAGGTTTGGGGACCCACCATTCGGGAGCTCGAGACCTTGAAGATATAGAAAACGAGATGTGTGGCAGCCCACAGACTGGGTGCTCATCACACAACTGGTGGCAGCCTACACTTCAGGTTCTCAACAGGAGAAAAAAAAAAACTGGCCTGCAACCAGTAGGTGATGGACGAAAGGGGGGGAGGGAGAAGAAGAGAGTAAGTAATAGAAGGTAGAGCAATAGAAGGAGGGGTAAAAAAGGAGTGATAGAGAGAGGATAGAGGAACTTAGGATATGGAGCAATGGAAAGAAGAGGGATTTGTGTGGGAAGAGATAAAGATGAATTGGAAGTTGTGGTAGGGGATAAGTGATTACCATATATTTAAGATGTAGTGACTAGTAGAACCTTGGTAAGAAAGGAGCATTAGATGATGAGGGGTTAGTTTTGGGAGTGGAAACGTTGTCCAAATTCGAGTCCATCCTACACTAAGTTTTAGACCAGGCAAACTGAAGCAATTTGGCAGTGGAGCTACCTTCACTGGAATCATGATTCTGCTAGTACTTTATTAAAGCAATAGCAAGTACTTGAATATGTTTTTTTCTTTTTTGTCATCCTCCAAGGTTGCATGACATGCTAAGCAGATAAATGTTGATACCTTGTTGTTGGATTGACCAGAGTGAAAAAATCCATGACATTTGGCATTTAACAAGTCAAGCGTTTCAGTGTTGTTACTGATTTCACTCTTTTTTGGTGTTACATATGGTTTATATTGTTAGATAGCTTTTCAAAGTTTTGAACTATAAATGCTACTTGTGTTAACCCACATGTTTATTATTGTTTCTGTTGCAAGCCTATTTGGTGGTTATTGGTACTTTAAGAAGTCAGTTGTCCATGCATTTTTCTGTTCTTCAACTGCAATGGCTGTTGGCTACTTGCCATGCTGTAGGTTCTCAGTTGTTCTCCCCTTTGCGCAAATGTTCAGTTAAAAATTTCAATATTCTAAATTTCTAATTTATCATGCTTTAATATGAGTTTGATTTTTATCGCAACCATGTTAGCTTATGTGTGATTATTGAGCAGGTATGCAACTGCTAGTGCTCGCTCTGATGGTCTACTCCTGCTTTGTGGAGGAAGGGATGCAAATAGCGTGGTACAGACAAATTCTCTATCTGAAGAATTTATGAGCATGGAATCAGTTTCTTAGTGCATTTAACTGTGATTGAAGCTTCCTGACAACTTTCTGTGTCTGACTGAACAAAATGATTCATTTTGGTTGTTGATTCATTAGAATTACTGGAATGTTACTTACTATATTGGTCCAAATGTTACTATTCATTGAATAATAAAAATTCAAAAGAAGTTGGGCATGTTATTGGGTTAGTCAGGTATTTGACAATGTATTTGATGGATATGAATATCTTGTGCTTTCCTGAAGTAGGTATGTTAGTTGGACTTTTAAGTGATAAGCATATTTATTCCAAATTGGTTTTGTAACCTTATTCGTTAACATTAAAAAAAAAAAAATACTTACTATTTTGGATACAATTTTCTTCAGCAGAATTACGATTGCCTTTTCACAAAAATAAATTAAGGAAAAAATATTATGATTATAAGATTAAAAAAAAAAAACTGTGATGATCATCATATTGGATGTTTCGTTGTTTAAACTGTCATGATTGTCATATTGGATGTCTCATTGTTTTTTGGTGCCTGATTTCAGCTTGTTATCTGAATGCGTTGTTTTGCTATTGAATGGAATAACATAATCCTTTGCTAAGCCGACTTGTGACTCATTGTGGGTCTGATACGGAAAAAGCTCTGACTTGGATTCAGAAGACTTGTCCGTGCTTGTCTGAGTCTTGGTGAATCTTTGGCAATTCTAACCAGTCTTCAGCATTTCTGACCAGCCTCCTCTGTATTATTAACAACGTTTTGAGAAAAGAAAATATTTTTAGGGTTGACATTTCTCTCCAGATCTTGTGAAAAGTACAGTATTTCTAGTGGAATAGACTTACCTCAGGGTGAGCTGTTACCAACTTTGGGTTTTGAATTTTGTGGAAGAACCTTAATTAGGACTTAGGCCCCTCAAATGAGTGCTTACTGAAGTGCAATGGAGAATCTTTAATGCAACTTCAAAAAACTTGGGTATTCCTTTCATTCTGAATTTGTCAAATGTTAGTCAAACTAAAGCACCTTTGTCCAGCTCATACCTCCTAGAACTAGAACTTATAATAACAATGAGTTATATCTGGCACTATCCAACCAGTAGTAAAGCATATTAACATAGCTTACCATACTTCCCTGCCATAGTTACACAGGACCAACATATGGTCTGTCTCCTCCTTTGCATCCTTGCATGAGAGTTGTATATTGTGAAATATCATTCCCTGTGAAGACAACCACTCCACCATGCTAATGATCAATTGTGAGAGTTTTGTTGTTGCATGCCAAACATGGAAACATAAATCTGTGCCTGTTTTCTCCAAACCTTTTTTCTTGGACGTGCTACATCCAACCAGAAAGTTTATAATACATGGAGTCATGTTGAGAAAATCTGTATGCCTCTCAACTCAAAGAGCACGATTTCTTGTCTCTCTGTCTTCCTCCCATAACCTGTTCATTGACTGGTAATACTTCTCCTTGTTCATCGATTCCATATCTTGAAGGTTCTTTCTCTCATCGGTCATGTAACTGATCCCTAAAGGCCTTGTAGAAATAATCCTCCAACTTGCACTTTCTCCAAATCCACTTGGACAATAAGGTCCTGTTTGGATGTCGCATACAATTCATGGCATCAAATTGCCTTTATTGCTGATGGGGGCAAAATAGCTTTTTAAGTTGTGCCCTTTCTGCAATAAGTGGCATTTTTTTACAAGAATGGCTGGTTTTCCGGAACTATTGGCCATGCATCAAATGCTAATTGGAGTGTGCCGCCCTTATAAACTTGTGCCATCCGCGACTTGTACACCATCTAAATGGCCCCAAAGTTATGTTTGCGTAGTTAATATCTCAAATGGCCTGACATCCTTAGTCTTTGGGCTTAGTTACCTGTTCCACTTGAATGTCATTTGTGTTAGCTAATTTTTTAGAATTTGTCCTTTTTATCTTTCCGATGTTCTTTTATCAGAGCCTGCAATGATGGCATGGACAATGAGCTTAGGTGCATTTGAAACATTTGCATAGAACAACAAAGGCTTTTGCCATTACATAGGGCATGGTTATAAAGTATAAAGTTTAATGGTCATAGGTGTGTGAGAGAATTCTATTTTATAATTTTAAGTGGATGTTAAGGAAAAATGTAGTTGGAGTTTATTATTATTATTATTGAAAGGTAGTTGGAGTTTATTTTTTGGGAAGAATGTGATCCTTCAAAACCAATTTCTTAAAACATGGCTTGGGCTCAGAGCTTGCCTCTTAGACAAAGCTTGAATGGATTCTGAACTAATTATGATTAATTACAAGTAAAATACATATACCCCGATTGCTGAGTCAGAGTAGTTCGTTGAGTACAAGTCGACTCACTTGATTTTTTTTTCACTGCTCTAAACAAAGATGAGAAACCCTTAGCAATTACTTAAGGCGGCAACTTTGAAAAAACCTTAGCATATTTATTAACAAATTATAGAGAAAAAAAACGTTGGCTTTATTGTATCTTTGCATACTCTTGTTTTCTGCATGAAAGTTCTTGGCACCGATAAAAAATCACCTGAAAGGTGGTTTGTAAATTTCTTCTTTGTTATTATTATTTCAGAGGTATGAATGTTTGAACTAGATAACTTGCTATATCATCTGTAGATATCATTGGTTCATGTGATAATGTGTTTCTTATTCTTACTTTTCATCTTTACTTGTAGCCTTTGGCTAGTGCTTATGGCCTCGCAAAGCATAGAGATGGCAGGTGGGAATGGGCTATTGCCCCTGGTGTATCACCATCTCCTAGATACCAGCATGCAGCTGTGAGTTTCGTGTTATGTTTTTTATTCTTGTTAATAATGCTCTTGATTGATATTGGGAGTAACTTGTGGGCATCTGTTCTTGCATTCAGGTTTTTGTGAATGCCCGACTCCATGTATCTGGTGGAGCACTTGGTGGCGGACGAATGGTAGAGGACTCCTCCAGTGTTGCAGGTGTCTTAAATACACTTAATGCTTGTAAAGGCAGTTCTGATTTGCTCATGTAATTTTGGAGTGTCTTAAAATGTAGTCAACGATCTGGATTTTTTTTTTTTTAACAGAATATGAACCGCAAAATATTTTTTTCTTTTTCTTTTTGCTTTTGAATAGGGCAGGGAATTATTTGAATTTGGCATGTAGGGGGGCTAATGGTCCACACTACAGAGTTGGTTTTACATATGCGTAATATTGTGGTGGTTGCTTAATGTTGTAGTGGTTAGGGAATGGCAAGTTATAGGATATTCTGTGCTGATTCTAACTTTGCCAAGTACAGTCGCCTAGTTGAATCTAGTCAGTTACTGAGTTAGTACCTTGCTTACAACTGATCTTCTTATAACTATTGGCTTTGTTAGGTTCATGATTGTTTGTTTGATTGGAGTGGAGGTTTCTAAGTATGGCTAAATTTCCGTGACATTGCATTATGGAAGTTTTGTGCTACCTGAGTGTACACTTTACTGGTTTTCTGTTGCAAAAGTAATGTTCAAGAAACATTGAAGAGTAGACATACATTCTAGGGGTTGTAACATCCTTTTTTCTTATTTTACACAAATATGTCTGACTAAACTATGTATTGCTGCAAATGCAATCATTGTATGGATTCTGCAACATCTGGAATATCTATTACCCTTTGATTGGGTTCTCCAAATAATTTGTTAATTGCATTCAAGGTCATGAAACGATATTTGATGTAGCTCAATGCAGAGAAACCTTCTTCATTTTAGGTTCCGTTGTAAAAATATTCTCTTCATGTCTCTCACATCATTGTGAAAGAATTTCAGTTCTCTTGTTTTGGAACTGTCACTTGGATTGAGGGTTAGAAAGGTTATATGTTATATATGCTAATTATCAAAAGACATGGTACATTCAAGAGACAAGATATATTATTAAGTTCTAGAAAATTGTCTATATGTTTCTTTTCTTAAAATTTTAATTTATGTTATTTTTGTGCTACCATTGCGGTGCATTGACCCTTGAATCCCATATGGAGCGGATCTAAGAAATTTTTCTTCAACAAGTGTTTGTTTAGGCCAAACAAGGACTTTTGATGCATACTCATCAGCAATCCATGATTGGACTTTGGGTTACATAAGCTTTTCAGTTGTGCTCTTATAGGTCTATGTTTCTTTTCAAATACTTATGCAGTTTATTGTGGGCAGGTTTGGATTTTTTAGGACTTAAGGAAAGTTGGTGTCTTAAGGATAGTTTTCACCATCTTATTCTGCTGACAATTGAATAAATTACTGCTCTTCATGAACACTCAATAGATTTTCCTTTGATGATAAAAGAAAGACTTACCACATGTCATGCCTGCTTGCCTTTCGAAATTTATCTGCATCTACCTTTTTTGGCTTTTCTGAATGGGGTAGTTAGCATGCGGTTCTGAATCTCTGACCCATTTCTACTTGTTCAGTGTTGGATACTGCAGCTGGGGTTTGGTGCGATACCAAGTCTGTTGTGACAACCCCCAGAACAGGTAGATACAGTGCTGATGCTGCTGGAGGGGATGCTTCTGTTGAGCTAACGAGACGCTGTAGGCATGCAGCAGCTGCTGTTGGTGACTTGATTTTTATTTATGGTGGACTTCGTGGTGGTAAGGCTTTACTATCGATGTTCTTTCTTCACTTGACTTGTAACCTGTCTCATTTATAAACTGATAAGCTCATTAGTTCCTGTTGCCGTGCTCTCATTTCTAGCATAGCTTGTGTCAGATGCTGTTTTCTATCCCCTATAAAAATAATAATATGCCATCTCTAAGTTCCCTAAGACTGTCATGAAAGTGAAGTTCTTCAATTTTTGCTTCGGTATAATTGCAATTCTTGTAGTTGTGTTACTCAACTTGCTGCTCACTTTGAGTATTGTTGTTGGGATGAACTCAGAAATATTTGAGTAGCCGTGCAAGTCCGCCCTTGTAAATGCCAGATACATTTGACAATCACGAGTGCTGTATCTGTGTTGGATACTTCAAAATCGCATGGAAAACACAAAAAAATTGGTAATTTTTCCATGTCCCCGGTTGTTACCGTTTACTCTAGTTGTTGATGTCATTCATAGGGTTTTCCATTGGGATGGCTGTGAAACCTAGCCTGCTTAACTGCATAAGCCTTCATACCTGCTGCCATCAGTGGTCTTGTGTGGAAGTGAGTGGTGAACATGACTGGGAGTGAGTAATGGGTAAACTTCCCTAGGGCTCATAGGCTGCATGTTCTGGGTAATGACCTCCAAACACATACACCCCTCCCCTAATGCACATGTACATGCTTATGTGTACATCTACTTGATACATGCATGCTAATGCATTTATGCACATGTGAAATATGTACTTAATATACATGTATTTGTGCACATGTGCAACCCATGTACTTGATACATGCAAGCTAATGCATTTATGCATGTGCAATATGTACTTAATATACATGTATTTATGCACATGTGCAACCCATGCACAAGTGCCACAAACACAAACCTGCACGTACACGTGCCATTATGCATTATTTGTCTCTCACTCCAAAATCAATAGACTTCAGTTACCATTGCCCTTTGCTGCTAATCACTTTTAGGTTGGGGTAGTCATCATCATTTGCCAAGGCAAAATGTAAAATACATTTTTCTTTAAAGATTATCTTCACTTTACTGGTTTAAAAGCTTCTTGGGTAGGTGGAACGCATTGTGCACTATATTTCACTAGCCATATTTTACTCCATGTGATAGACTGCCATTGTTTTTAGAACTGAAAGCCCCCAAAATTCCTTTCTCAACTTAGCCCAGCGAATGACCGTCGACCTTATTTTTTCGAACAGCCTAAGTATGTCATGGTATATCATCTGGAAAGTAGGATTATATCTGCATCGAGGGACATCCATTGCTGAATTAATAACAGCAGATGATTTCTTTGTTGGCAAACTCATAAGGAAGGAATGTGTTTTGCAGATTTTGTGTGGCTCTTACACTTGACGCACCTGTTGGGTATAGGAATGGACATATTCATGAGATGATCTATTACTAACAACTTGTTCAAAGCCATAAACCAGCTAGAACTTGTGTCTTTGGTATGATAGTCCAAACTCCAAAGTCTTGACATATGTGTATTACCAAGAACATACCTTTGCCGATAGCATCCATATGGCACGGTTTTCCTTGGTGTAAAATAAAAGTTTTGCAGTTCCTATATCAGTGTTGTGAGCGCTTCAAATTCCCTTCTCCTAGATTAGATCCCTTCTCAAACTAGGAGTCTGGACTGCCGAGGCCCCCTCACTCTCAACTGTTCAAATTGTTGCGTTGGGCTTGGAGGTTATCCCAAAAATCATTGGGACGAGATTAAAAAAAAAGTTGGGAATCGATCTTTTAATGTCTATCCTTGAACCGCATATCCTTAAAAACTTGCTTCTTATTGTATTGTGAATCTCTGATCTGACACTGTTTCCGCCTCTTCATGTGCCAGACATGGCTGAGATCCATATTTTTATGTAACTACCTGAGGTCATAGTAGTTGTGTAGCTTCTATGGATTTCCATCACCACTTTCCCAATAATACCTTATTGTTTCCTTAATCTTTTGTACCTCTAACACCCCTAAACTTTTGATTTACAGACCATTTCCATATCAACCAAATGGATCCTATGTATTTCAGAGGAACCATTCCACAAAAAGTTTGCTCAGCTGTTTTCTTATTCTATTAGAAATGGAGGACAGAACTAGCAAAGGACATTGAATAGACTGGGAGGTTAGAAAGTGATGCTTTGATTACGGTGATCCTTCCCCACAAGGACAGAAACTTTGTTTTCCATGAGACTATGTTTACATCCAATTTCTCTCTCTGACTCTATGCAGGGCACATCTACTGCACTATAACACTGTGATCTTAGTTTTGTTTGTGTTTACTCTCATTCCCTCTAACACTTCAAAACATCACGAGAACAACCGTGCTATCCACATCTGTTATGATGGTTCCCAGAATAACACAATGTCATCTTCATATTGCATACGAGTGATTTTAGGCTCTCTCAGAGAAGCTTTAAATCCTATCAAAAGCCCTGCATATACCGAGACTTAGCTGAGTCCACTCATCCTTGTTCACCCCCGAATTGTGTGTACAACTCGGGGCATATAAAAAATTTCAAAAAATTAAAAAAATTATAAAAATGTGGTTATATTTTCCTTCTTTTTGGATTTTTTAAATGTCCAATACTGTAAATCTTTTTTTTTTTTAAATCCATTTTCTCTACTTTTTTACTCTTGTTTGAACTTTTTAAGCTTGTTTTTGCCTTTACTGCATTTTTTCTTTCTTTTCTTTTTTGAAGAGGTTAACAGTTCTATACTATTAAAGAGAAAAGGAGTACAGCAGGTAAAAAATGAGGCTTCCTACAATCCTAGAGCTCTGTACAAAAATTGCATCTCCAAGAAAGGGAGCTTTGTACAGAAATATAAAGGGTCTCCTAAGGGGAACCGTATACGAAATCAACACTACAGAGGTCTATGTAAGTACAAAACAAGGTCCCATGGAGAAACTGGAGTGAGGAATAAGGCCATCCTTGATTTCTTCCAGACCCTATATGCTGCCCCCTCGGGCCCAAGACCGAGGATGTCGAATATTGATTTCTTAACCCTTCCTGAAGACCGGGCACTCTAGCTAGAGCAACCTTTCTTGGAAGAAGAAATCTTAAAGGCTATTTTTTGGGAAACCTTAAATTTTTTTGCCAAAGACAAAGACCTCGGTCCAGACGGGTTTTCCGTAACACCCTTTAAATTTGTTTGGGAAACCTTCCGTCCAGACTTCTTAAGGTTTTTCGAGGAATTCTTCCATCAGGGAATCCTCCACAAATCCATCAACGCCACTTTCATAGCCTTAGTCCCCAAGGTCGAAGGGGCAGAGGAACTAAAGGACTTTTGTTCGATCAGCTTGCTCAATTCCTCTTACAAAATTTTGGCCTAGGTTTTGGCCTCAAGGCTACAACAAGTCCTTCCTTTAATCATGTCACAGTCACAGACAACTTTCATCAAAGACAGGCAAATCCTAGACGGCGCTTAGTAGCACACGAGTGATTTCACTCAAGGCACATGTCCAAGAAGCCTGGTCTTATCTTCAAGATAGACTGGGAGAAAGCGTACGACCATGTTGATTGCTCGATTCTGAACGAATCAATGGCTAGAACAGGATTCTGGGACCTTTGGAGAGAGTGGATGAGAGGTTGCTACTCTTATCCTCACTTCTCGATTCTCATCAATGGAACCCCAAAAGGTTTTTTCCCATCCTCGAGGGGGCTACGCCAAGGGGATCCACTCTCCCCTTTCCCGTTCGCCATTACAGCAGAAGTCTTCAGCCGTTCAATCTCCCGTTTGTGCTAGGAAGGTCTCCTTATTGAATTCAAGAGCAGTCCCCAAGGCCCAACAGTGTCTCATGTGCAATATGCAGATGACATTTGGTGTTCCTTGATACCTCGCCAGAAGAAATTGATAATCTGGGGCTTTATCTCAAATGCTTCCAAGTGGTTACAGGGTCAAAGTTAACATGGTAAAATCAAAGATGAGGGGAGTGGCACTCACGAATGCTGAAATCAGAGTGCTTATCCCAAATTGAGAATGCAAAGTGGAGGAACTTCCCACAACATACCTTGGTCTACCCTTGGGATTGGGGAAACAAAAAAAGAGATAGTGGTCCCATGTGATAGACAAGGTTGACAGGCATCTGGCAGGGTGGAAAGGGGGATACCTCTCCATGGCTGGCCGTATCACCTTGATAAAAGCAACCTTGGCAAATGCTCCGGTCTACCTCATGTCTCTTTTCCACATGCCAACCTCGGTGGCCAACTAATGAGGAATTTCCTTTGGTCAGGACAGGCCGAGAGAACCAAATACCACCTAATACTGTGGGACAAGATTTGCTTACCCAAACTTCAGGGTGGGCTAGGGATTAGGACCCTTAGAAAACATAAGTTGGGCCTTTTAGGGAAATAGTGGTGGCGCCTAGCCCTTTAGACAGACTCCCTCTGGGCTCAGGTCATACGCAGCAAATATAGGATTTCGGAGGGAGTTTGGGTGCCTCCTCCCTCTCACAGTTCAAAAAATTCATCAGATTCTATCCAAGAGAAGGAACAAGAGTGTGCTTCTGGTCAGATCTTTGGCTAGGACACACTCCGCTAAGGGACCTTTTTCCCTCCCTTTACTCTCTTACCTCAAATAAACACTCTACTATCGCAGAGGAAATGGTACTGTCAAGAGGCCGAAGAGTTTGGAACCCCTTGTTCAAAAGAAATCTCTCAGACGAGGAAACCGGCCACTTCTTGTCACTCTCAACAGCTTTACATTCCATCTTCATCTCTATACAAGGGAGGGACTCCATGGTATGGACTCTAGCCCCCTCTGGTACTTTCTCGGTGGCCTTGTTTTACAAAAGACTCATTCAACCCCTGACATTTCCTCTTAATCCTACCTCTGTCCTTTATAAGGTCTGGTCCACAATTGCCCCTCCCAAAGTTTAGACTTTCAACTGGATTGCTGGTTCTCAACGGGCACTCACAGTGGACCAGCTTCAAAAGAGAGGGATGCCAATCCCCAACAGATGTGCCATGTGTTTGAGCGAGGAGGAATCAAATCCATGCCTCTTCATCCACTGCAAGCTAGCTCACAACCTTTGGAGTCAATTATTGCAACTGTTTGGTTTCTAATGGGTTACTCCACCTACGGTCAAGGCCCTAATTTCCTCGGAACATGCGTGACATTGGCTGAAGGCCGAATGAACCTTATGGAAGGCCGCCATCGTCACTTCCATATGGGTGATCTGGGTAGAAAGGAATACTAGAATATTCCAAGGTCACAAACTCCAAGTACCAACACTTTACCACAAGGTTACTTCTCTAGTAACTTTTTGGGCATCCAACCATAGGGTTTTCTCGGGCATTTCAACAAACACCTTTCTCAGCCAATGGGAAAACATACTCTACCACCAACCACGAAAGGTGCAAAGACCAAACAACTGGCTGCCACCTCCAGAGTGCACCATCAAGCTCAATTTCGATGGTTGCTCTTTGGGGAACCCCGGCCCAATAGGAGCCAGAGGTGTCTTTAGAGACCATCATCGCAATATTCTCTTCACCTATTCTGAGCATCTAGGCCATAAAGATTCTCAATACATTGAAGCCATGGCCCTGTTGTTAGGTCTCAAAAGCTTCAACCATTCTTGGGGACCACACTTGTTAGCAGAAGGAGACGCACACAATATTATCTCCTAGGCAACCGGGACGGCATCACCTCCATGGTACCTAGCTTCGATTTTTGATGAAATTGCTTACATTTGCAGGGATATGGTCTTCTCATGGTCATGGAAGCATATCTGGAGGACATCCAACAAGTTCGTCGATCTTCTAGTGAAAGACGGGGCTAGGACACAAGAAGAAGACCACACCCATCTCCTTTTTTGCTCTGGACCACAGAGGGACACAACGTAGAACATCTCATTGTAATCGAGCAATTCTATAAGCCCAATTTTTTGTGAACCTACTGTAACTCCTTTGTAATCGGGTAGGTATATAAGCCCATTTTTTGTAAAACGTCTGCTGACCTATTATTTACCGAGAGAACCGCCTAGAAGGCTCTCTTGGATTACCACACATCTGTAATCTAACTTCTCTTAGCAATACAAAAGTTAACTTTCTCAAAAAAAAGGAATAGACTGAGAAAACCTCGGAAGGGCTCGGGGTACAAATGATAAGGTCACTACCCTGATGTGCATCGAAGTAGAATGGAGGGTGGCAGCCAGGCTAAGAAATTATGCTGTTTTAGAGTCATTGAGGGGTCTTTTAAAAGTTGGGTTCCAGGTTCTTGAGGGGCCAGTGATGGTCAGTTCGTTGGTGATGAACACCACTTCGTTATGGGCCAGGCCAAATGAGGAAAGGGTGGAGGTCTTTGAGAGAGGTATGGCCAATCCAAAGGTCAGACCAGAACTTAATTCGACGTCCTTCCCTAGGATGGAACCGAAGAGGTTTTCGAATAGGTTGAAAGATGAGAGAATGGATTTGCAACTTCCTGATGATCTGTTGTTGGCCGTGCAATCAGGCAGCCACAAGGAAGGTTCGAGGCGATATTTGTTGCCGAAGGACCTGCATCCATAGTTGGTCTCCTAGTGTAGCGACACGCCACCACCATTTACCAAGTAGGGCTGTATTATGTTTCCTTAGATTTAGGATGCCGAGACCCCAAGGCGCTTTTGCTGGCAAAGTTTGTCTCACGATACAAGGTGGAACTTGTGAGTTGTAGTGTCGCCCAACCAAAAGAATCTTTGCATGAGCTGTTCGAGGCGGAGAGTCACAGCTGCCAGCATATGAAAAAGCGACATTTGGTATACCGGGATATTGGTGAGGGTGGCCTTGATAAGAGTGAGCCTACCTGCTGAGGATAAGAAGCATCCTTTCCATCTGGCAAGCCTGTGGTCTACCTTATGCATGATGTGGGACCACAATCTTTTCTTCGGTTTTCTAATACAAAGGCCACCCAAGTAGGTAGGCGGTAGAGATTTTACCTGGCAACCCCAACTATCTGCGAATTCCTGGGTGACTTTGAGATCCAAAGCAACACCAATCATTTTGGATTTGGTGAGGTTGACTTTAAAACCCATGGAAAACTCGAAACACGTAAGAAAGAGAAGAAGGTTGTCAACTTCCTACTGGCTGGCCCCACAAAAAATGAAGGTAATTGTCAGCATATTAATGGTGGGTTATAATCGGGCCCCGGGTCTACTTTTAAAGCCATGGAGATGCCTGTAGTTGAATATGCACGAAATAGATTGGCTGAAGTCCTCAGCTATAATAGCTCTCCATGCCTGTAGTTGAATATGCACGAAATAGATTGGCTGAAGTCCTCAGCTATAATAGCTATAATTTTTCTTTCTTTTTTTATTTTCCACATTCTTTCCTTCTTTTTTTATGGCTGTTTGGGCCTGTGCAGGACTCGGCCGAGCAAATCGCCTCGGCCAAGGGGCGAGTCCCTTGGACGAGGTGAGTCCTGGCACATTGGTAAACCCCATCGAGCATTTGGCTACATACACTCCCCTATTGTTGCAAATAGAAAGAGCGAGAAAGTGTCTTCCTACGTGATACTCCTTGCTACTCGATAAGAGTCCTTTTGGTGAACCATTGGTTAAACTGTGAAATTTGTTGGGGAAGGGCAAGTTGTAATCCATTCCCTCCAATTTACCGCAAAATCCATTAAGCTCAGTCTGTCATCTAAGAAAATCCAAGGCCATGTGATCATAGGGTTTTTCGAAGTCAAGTTTGCATATTATGCCTAGTTTCTTTTCTCCTTGTTGGGAATATATACACTCGTGGTCTTTCAAAGCCCCAAAGAAAATCTGTTTGTCATTCATGAATATGGATGAGGAGGAGATATTATCTGATCTGTGGCTTCTTTGAGGTGAGAGGCTAGCAGCCTTAGTATCTTGTAAACCCCACCTATTAAACTAATCACCTTTAAGTCCTATAAGTCATTTATGCCTTTGGCTGCAAATCTAAGAACTTATGAAGCATATGAAGCAAAAGCAGCAGCAATTCTTCTCGAATCATATCTCGACACTCTCGAAAGAAAGCTATGGGTAGCATTTGGGCTTGGGTCCTTATCTCTACCAACCGTGAATACCACTTTCCTCACTTAGTCCTCTTTGGAAGGGTGTCCGAACCATGCAACACTTTCTCAAGACATTTTTGGAAATGATATCTCTTTGATAGAGCTAGTGTTTCCTTGATACATCAAGTTGAACTTGGCATTGTGTGTCGACACGTGTTGACACTTTGACACATGTCTATATGTGGGAATTGAACCTTGGGCTTCTTGGGCGTTTCCCGAGCTCTACCACTCCGACACTATCTTATGTGTAATGCAATAATAAAATATATTATTATATAAGGTAGGAAAATTGTTTCATGCGGTCTGGACCGCATTTGTACATATACGGCCCAGAAAGTGTAATGCATCCATCTTAAAGATGGATGCAAGTAGGTATTCCATCTAAAAACAATGGAAACTAATGGTTCAAGTGTTTTCTTACTAGAATTATTATTTCTAGTTTCTAAAATTTATTTATTTATTCATATTCATGATCTCCATGTTAGAGATTACATGTCCTTAAAAATTAAATCTTAAAATCCATCTCAAAAATAGATTTATTTAGATGCCCGCATTTCTACATATGCGGGCTTGGCCACATAGAAATGGGGTCCTATAAGGTATCATCGTTATCTTATTTAAACTAAAAAGTACCCAAACACTGATGAAAATTGAACTTAATACCACTCGAACAAGAACCCCGTGCTCTACAACTCCTCCCCTTTTACTTTATATTGAGTATGATAGAAAGTTATATTAGATATATGAGAATTATCTTATTCAAAATAGTATTTTTAGAGGCCTGTCTTTCTATGTTCGCTTTTTACGCCAAGGCACTTGACGCTTTAGACAAGTATGAGATATGACACTCGTTGTCATATCTATGTAAAACTGGATAGAGCACTTCGGCATGGTGTTTTAAGAGCTGTAAAACGATCCTGAAAATGATCCACTATCAATCGCTCTACATCCTCATCTGAACCTTAGATTATTGTTTCCCTGCAATCTGAATGCTATGAATTTTATTACTTCTTCTGCTGCTTGCTGAAGCATGGAATAACTTTGTTTTCTTATCCTCCTCTCTGATCCATTGAATCCTTGATCTTTGTTGCCAAAATATCTCCTCCAACCTGAGGCATTCTTGCGGCTCTTTTCTCAGCCCTATGCATCGACTGCTTGTATCTGGGTCCCTGGATGTAGGATTTTGGCTTCTTCAGTTGTGCCAAATTCTGCCACCTCCTCATCTCCAATTTGCAGGGGGATGATCACTTGTAAGCTTATGCCCCCAAGGGGCTATTTTTAGATTTAACCCTTGCAAATGATGAATTCTCCTACTTCCATTTTTTTTTTGGGAAATTGGAAAATTTATGATGTAATTGAATGTTATTGTATTGGAAAAAAGGCTATCTAATGCTAAGGTGGATTATTATTGGATTTGTGAGACTGCAATCCATTCAATGATATCATGAAGTGACCTGTGCATCAGATTTTTCTGTTGTGTAGCTTTTCTATGTTCCTTGTTTGATAATTTCATGTGTTTTGACCTTTTTGGATGTTTTAAATTGTCGTATTGTAAGGAGTTGTCTCATATACGTAAAGAAACATCGGATCTTATGACCTGGAAACTCGGAACATATGCTATTCTTTTTCAGGTGTCTTGCTCGATGATCTGCTTGTTGCTGAAGATCTGGCTGCAGCTGAAACGACGACTGCAGCTTCACATGCTGCTGCCGCAGCAGCAGCTTCCAATGCTCAGGCGGGGAGAAGTCCAGGAAGATATGTGTATGCTGATGAAAGGGCCCGGCATGTGATTCCTGAGGCGGTTCCTGATGGTGCTGTCGTGCTGGGAAGTCCTGTTGCTCCTCCAATTAATGGGGATATGTACACGGATATAAGCACAGAAAATGCTGTGCTTCAAGGAAGGTGAGCTAGCCCTGTAAGTGGTTAAAAAAATTTAAATGACATTTTTTTGTTGTGAATGGTGGGTGAAAGTCCTTGAGGATTCTCTCTCTCTCTCTCTCTCTCTCTCTCTCTCTCATAGGGTCATAGTGTTATAACATGTTTCATAACATTGTATTCTATTTTATATGATGCAGGAGATTGAGCAAAGGTGTGGAATCCTTAGTTGAAGCTTCGGCAGCAGAAGCCGAAGCTATTAGTGCGGCATTAGCTGCTGCCAAAGCCCGACAGAGTAATGGAGAGGTAGAGCAGCTCCCAGATAGGGATCGTGGGGCAGAGGCAACACCCAGTGGGAAACAACTTTCTGCCCCTGCAAAGTCACCAGATTCTGTTATTACCAATAATGTACCACCAACAGGAGTTCGACTTCATCACAGAGCTGTCAGTTCGCCTTAGTAACTCTGTTACTCTATGAATGCCTTATTTTTTCTATCTAGAACTTGGCTGTTGATATTCTTTTGATTGTTTGCATGCATCATATCAGAGTTGCTGTTTTATTTGTTTTCTTTTTGTACATTTCTTCAGGTTGTGGTAGCTGCAGAAACTGGAGGAGCTTTGGGAGGTATGGTCAGGCAGCTTTCTATTGACCAGTTTGAAAATGAAGGAAGACGTGTTAGTTATGGGACGCCAGAGAGTGCAAATGCAGCTAGGAAGCTATTAGATAGGCAGATGTCTATTAATAGTGTACCTAAAAAGGTACTTATTTTACTCTTGCAGATGGGCTGAATGAGATGAAATGCAAGATGGGAGAATAATTTTTTTGTGCTGTTCTTGTTTGAAGGATTCCAAATAACATATGTCAGGAATTATCTCTGAGTACTGTCTTTGAGCACCTAAGTACATTGAGACCTTTTATTTAGACAAAACCATAATCCTGAAGGCATAACATGAAAGCTTCTTAGTTCTCTCAGAAAATACATTACTGAAAGCATGAGGCGCAATTCCCTCGTCTCTCCCCCTTCACCCCCCAAACCCAAACCCTCCTCTTCCCTCCCCTTCCCTCCCCCCCCTCAAAAAAAATAAAAAACCGCCCTAAAAGAAAACATGAAAAAGGAAAAAATAAGAAAGAAAACGGAAAAACTGAATATATCACTAAAATGGTCAAACCACTTGAAGAAATAAATGAGATGGTTAAATCAACTAATTTAGCACAAAGTGGTTACTATATACAGTTCCTTTCACTTAGGTGCCTCCTCAACTATTTTGTTAAAATTCCTCAAACTGCCCCTTTGCTGGGTTTAGAATCTGCAGCAAGAGGGGTATTTTGGTAATTTGGCGACTACTTAAGTGGCTGGAGCTAAACGGCCTGCTTGTTCGTGGTTAGGAACACGGAACATGTTTTTCTTAGTAACATTTATTGTTTTGGGTTCCTAACCCCAACAAAGAGGGGTGGTTTCATCATTGGCCTAGGGCAAGGAGGCCTAAGCCAAATGACGAGTCTACCGCTGCTAGTTCAGTGTTAGAAACAAGCAATGTATTTTTTTTTATTGAAAAAATCTTGTTCCAGTTCTTTATCAAAAAAGAAAATCTTCCGGGTTTCAGATTCTAAAAAAGGAGGGTTGTTTTTGTCATTTGGCTCAAGTATCCTGAGTCAAATGACGAGCCTGATTAGAATAGGTTGGATCTGAACTTGTTGCATATTGTATCTGTATCACAAATGAATGCATCCGTTAATGTTATCTGATACTCATAGTTCCTATGACGTGGATTATTTTTGTTCTGGGTTTCAGGTTATTGCACATCTTCTGAAACCTCGGGGTTGGAAGCCTCCTGTGCGCAGGCAGTTCTTTTTAGATTGCAACGAAATCGCAGATCTTTGTGATACTGCAGAGCGAATATTTTCTTGTGAACCTAGTGTTTTACAAATTAAAGCTCCTGTCAAGATTTTCGGTGATTTGCATGGTCAATTTGGAGACCTTATGCGCTTATTTGATGAGTATGGATCTCCATCTACAGCAGGAGATATAACGTAAGTCTGCCATGTTCATCCATCATGCTCATAGTTGAACATTTTTTGTCAAGTTGCTTTTGTTCCATTTGTACATGAATCGTTTTATGAAATTTTTTCGTTTTATGTGAGTAGAGTGATTGTTTTATTTGTTTGTGCTATCCATAAAATCTCCCTTTCCCATTTGATTATTTGGACCTGAAGGTTTTGAAATGATTGTAGCGTGGATACTGGATAGTTAACTACGTAGGGTGGTTTTGATAAACCATTGCTATAGTTTCTGTTGTAATGGCTACTACTTGGGTCTTTGTACCTCAATTTCAAAGTTCAAATTTCTTCACGATCTTTAAAACTCGGAAGCATTCGACTTCTATCAGTTTTATGATCTTCCTCTGATGGTGAATGCTACTTTTTTGTTGATATGACTATAATGTAGTTGTTCTGATTCATCTTTAGACATGCCTAGTTCCTATGTTTTCTGATTTCATTTTTGTTCATTATTTTTACTTCTATGCAGTTATATCGATTATCTCTTCTTGGGTGATTACGTCGACCGGGGGCAACACAGTTTGGAAACTATTACTCTTCTGCTTGCTCTGAAGGTAGCATGTGAACATGAGTTCACATTGTATAGAATCCATTGTTCTAAGTGGTTACCTTTGGTTTTTGAGAATGGCAATTGATTCTCCGTCATTCCCAATTTCTTTTATTGCTTGGTACTTTTAGGTCGAGTATCCGCATAACGTGCATTTGATTCGTGGGAACCATGAAGCAGCAGACATTAATGCCTTGTTTGGTTTTCGGATTGAGTGTATTGAGCGCATGGTATTATCTAAAAATTCCCATCCTTTCTATTTGCACAACCCATTTGCAGTTTGAATTTTCTCAACTTCCATGATTGCAGGGTGAGAGGGATGGAATTTGGGTTTGGCACCGTATAAACAGGTTATTCAACTGGCTTCCTTTGGCTGCTCTAATTGAGAAGAAAATCATTTGCATGCATGGTGGCATTGGGCGGTCCATAAATCATGTGGAGCAGATTGAAAACATTCAACGTCCCATCTCCATGGAAGCAGGCTCAGTGGTTCTTATGGATCTACTATGGTAATTGAACCCTCTTTTTTGAATTGCTCTTGTTCATTCAAATTACCCCTCTCAGCATTTGCTCATAAGATGGATCTCTTCTTGTTTCCGATGTTGCGTTTTGTCACAGGTCTGACCCAACAGAGAATGATAGTGTTGAAGGACTGCGTCCAAATGCCCGAGGCCCTGGTCTGGTTACATTTGGGGTCTGTAATCTATATTTATTAACGTCTCTATCTGTTTGGGGTTATGAGCATTGAATTTTTTAGTATTAACAGCAGTCAGTTTTATAGATGTGTCGGAATTCTAGATAGGCATCCTTATTGTCAGGACTTTTTTTTGGAGTTTTGGCATTATATTTCATGGTTAGGTATAGAAAGAAAAAGTGGAGTGGATTATTAGTAGGTTTTGTTAATGGAACAAGTTTGTATACAACAAATCAGTGAAAAAAAAAGGAGTAATAAGTTGATGCCAATGGAAAGTATGTTTCTTTTCATTCCACTGTACACCCAATTTTGTGTAGAAATCGTCAGAGAAAGTACCTTTTGGGAACCCTAAAGAGTGCACAACCTGTGGGTAGCCGGATTTCTTTTTTTTTTGATAAAAGTTGGCATTGTATTGATGGTAGAGAAGATTACAATGATACAAAGGCGATTTCTTTTTGTAATTCTCAGAAATGTCATAGAAACAGCAGTCAATCTTTTTTAAGAGGTTAGATGCCGATAGATTTGAAGTTTTTGTCTTGGGAGTAATCTAATCGAAAGATGTCAATGCGATGGAATTAGAGAAGTGAACCTAGTTGTTTTTGGGTAATTCAGTGGGGAAGACAGGCCCCTACCCGTTTTTTGAAGTAGATTAGGAGTTAAGCCTTTTGAAGGCATTAGTGGGGTGGTGTTAGCGGTGGGATTGGAAACCACAATGTGGTGACTAGGGTCTGGGGATGCTACCACCACGACCCCAGTCCCTTTCTCAGAAGTGAACCTAGTCTATGCATTCATAGTGCACTTCAATGTGAAAATAAGGAATGTAGTTTTGTGTTTTATTTTATTGCATGAGTTTTTCCAGAGGTTTAGTTTTGTGTTTTATTTTATTGCATGAGTGTTTCCAGAGGTTTCTCAATCCAATGCATCTCTTAACTAGAAGAACTTGCATTGCAGCCTGATCGTGTCATGGAATTTTGCAATAATAATGATCTCCAGTTGATTGTACGTGCACATGAATGTGTGATGGATGGATTCGAACGTTTTGCCCAGGGGCATCTCATAACGCTCTTCTCAGCAACCAATTATTGTGGTTCGTTGCTCTTTTCACAATAACTCAATCTCTGCAATTGTTGATGAGACTGGTGCAAGTTCCTCGATTGACTGTTTATTCACTTTTGGTTGCATGTTGTGGGTGCTGCAGGTACAGCAAATAATGCAGGAGCCATATTGGTATTGGGGAGAGACCTTGTTGTGGTTCCCAAACTCATACATCCTGTGCCCCCGGCCATTACGTCACCAGAAACATCTCCTGAGCATCATATCGAGGATACATGGATGCAGGTGCAGTGTCTTGATAAACTAGTAATCATGCGTGCTTAGGGCTCTCACACATTTTTCTTTTTTCTTTTTCTTTTTCTTTTTCGTTTTGTGGCTCTGCCATAACTGGTTTTGCCATTTGTTGATTGTTTGGTAATCACAGGAGCTCAATGCTCACCGACCGCCAACGCCAACCAGAGGCCGTCCACAATCTGGTACAGATCGGGGTTCTCTTGCTTGGATTTGATATTATTATGTGCTGGTTCTCTTCCCTGCGATGCGGTGGATCGAGGATGTCATGGTGTGTTGTTTGAGAATTGGAAAAAGGAAGTACATCCTTTGTCAAACAACCGTGGCATGATGAGGCCTGTTGCCCTTCTTCCTGCTGCTGTCCTGACCAGTGAGTGTCCATCGATCATTCCTCTTCTCATACATGTCAAGGCACAGGTGATTTTAGTTACTTCCTAGAAAAGAGCGGCGGCATCAAAGATGGTGGTTTAAAGTTTAGAAAGTGGCTGGATGGTTTGTGTGCTAGGTAGATAGCTAGGTGTTTTTTAACTGGGGCTGGTTGGTTGGTTGCAAAAGTTTGTGAGAGGTTGCCGCTGTATATTGAGCCACGTGCAGCCATGCATATGCTGTTTCTTCTATTTTGATGTTTCCATTACAAAATAGGTTAATTCTTTTTTCCTTTGCCCCTTTTTTCTCTCTCACTTGAGAAAAAGACCTTTATTGGCTCATCGGAGTATCAAATATTGGATCATGTACCATAGAATAGTTTCCGGTGTGCAGTGCTGTTCAATATGTAGCCCTGTTGTGCACTTGTACAATGTAAGTTTTGTGTGAAGAGAAAGAGACTTTGATTATCCTGGACCTGTTCGATGATCACCTGAGAAGTGTGTATTTCTGCGGGGCTTGGCTTCAACAGATGGTGCTGATTGTGGTTTCACTCATCGTGGGTGAATCAATGGAGAGAGAGAGACACAGAGACAGAAACATAGGAGCATATACTTGTGATTGTGCTTTTAACTGTATGCTTCATTGCCATCTTTCATTTGATTTTTGTGCCATAATAAGATGATGTTACATGGGTTTGTGATGGGGGGACTATGCTTGAGGAAATGCCTAATATTATACCCCTTTTTGTGTGTTTTTTTTTTTTGGATTTTAAAAATTATATTTTTAAGTTAAAATGCCTGTTGTATCTGTTATTTTAAAGGAAAATAGAAGATTCGCCATGGTTATTTCCTTTGTAATGGCCACAGGGTAGCCGCTATGGGCTATAACTGGCTTTTATGGATCCTAAAACCCTACAGGGATGAGGTGGCAAGATGCGAGGATCTTGTAAAATGTGAAGGCATGTGGATCTATCTATCCTAGTTATATTTTGTTTTTGAACGTTGAAAGAAAGAGAAATGGTACCCCATACAGGCAGGCCGTATCCGTGACCGCCCATGGTTGATGAAAGAAACTTGACTCAAAAGGTATTCAAGGAGGAGTTATGCCACTCAACCACGTCTAAAAATAGGAAATAGGCAGTGGGGTTTAAGTTCATCGCATACCTAAACCTCCTCATTAGAGCTCATGAGAGAGAAAATCTCAAAAATTACGATAAATTGATCTAAATATCGGGATTCGATTTAATTTTGAAGATTTTATAGGTCTATTACATTGAGATTAGATTTAGTTTAGGAGATTTTATAATATATTAAAGGGTTTTTTTAGTAGATTTTGAGATTAAAAAAAAAGTGGAAGTTTGGAGATCGAACGATTAAATTGGTGAAAATTTTATTTTTATTTTGAGATAGGTTAATTCAAAGTTTGATTTTTTAATTTGAAATTCGTAGAATTTTGGATTAAAATACGTTTCAATATTTTTAAAAGTTTAAACCTTAAAACAACTTTTATTCTTTTGGCTGCCTATGCATATGCCTATGCTAAGTTGATGAATTTTAAGCGATATCAATATGCACTTGAAAACAAAGGAGTCGCCATATCGATCTGCACTTGAAAACAAAGGAGTCGCCATATCGATCTGCACTTGAAAACAAAGGAGTCCCCGTATCAATTTGCACTCGAATACAAATGAGCCTTTTAATGCGCAGAAAAAACGATACGAGATTCTTCATTTGATAAGAAATAGACAGTGAAAAAAATTCAGGGCATAGGGCAAGGCGTAGAATCATTGACGTTTGTTTGCGTGGTGGGTATGATTTGGCTTAAGGTAGGGGATAGAATCATAATTCAGATGCAGCGCAGCAGTAGAGGGTGGGTTCTCTTACCCTGAACTTGGCACAACAGAGAGAGAGAAAACATTGGATTGAAAGAATCACCCACCAGTTAATGTGAATCTCATACTAGAGCAGGAGGCAAAGCAAAGATTCTTGAGTTGCACTCCAAGCAAGGAAGGAACATCCAACCAGAAAAGCATTTGTATTTGTATTTGTATCCCCAACGATGTGATGTGGTGGAGTAACAAATGGGAGCTCAGAAGAGCATTCAAGCTGGAAAAGGTACCACTACCACACTCTCTCTCTGTCGTCTGTGCAATTCATCAACGATAGTATCCCCAACGATGTGATGTGGGAATGTGTTGTGCAGCAAAGATAGATGTGAACGTGGATCTCTCTCACCAATTACGTGAAGCCCTCCTCCCCTCCTCATTCAGGTAACTACACTACACATTCCATCATTCCTCTTCTTCCTTTTGTTAACTCTCTTCTTTGGTATTGTATTATCAGGAACTCAACCAATCCCTTGTCATACATAATTGGAAGGTCCACTCTCTGTCTCTCATTCATTTATCCTATCCCCTTTTCTTAATTTAAAAAGAACCATCGCCATTACCATTACACACACATTGATTCATTCAACCAAAGATGGTACTAAGTGTTGCTGTCTGATATTTTCGCAGCCTTGATATCAAACACCCGGACCTATTTGGCAGAAGGGACAAGTTGGATGTGTTGTGGGATCACAACGGACTCTCTCATTCCAATCTCCTCATTTCTTACCTCAGCAAGCCCACCTCACAATGGTTAGCCGCTCAGCAATCTTTCTTCCTTCAGGTTGGTTGGTTCTCTTGCAAGCAAACAAGCGCTCTCAATTTCTGTATACTTGACTCATTTCTGTAACTCAAGAGTGGAAGAGGCTCTCATGATTTCTATTAATCATACATGCAGCACTCGGTTGCGCCCGAAATCACAATACATGGAGTGCCCATCGACAATTTCTCGCATTCGGTGAGTGGGGGTGTTAAGCTCTCCCGTTTCTTAGTGGGCTTACAACTTCATGAGCCCCCATCTGCTGCTTCAACTTGCAACTGGACCAGCAAAACCAGCATAAGGTTTGAGGTTGGTGCGACCCCATTAATTAATCACTTTCTATATGGTTGCAAGGGTTGATGCTTGTTTATTATGAAAATGGAAGGATACAATTGATCAAATGGTGGTCGTACCTGTACTCTTCATTCTTTGTCTCATTGATTTTGTGTAACACTTGTCTTTAGAGAGATCCACCCCATCTTAATGCTCTTCATCCATCTTTTTTGCATCAGCACGTTCGCCCAATCAATGACTATGGCCGGTCTATAACAAGAGATTTGCATGGCTTTCCAGTTACTAGCAGGTATTTGTGTGATAAATCTCTCGAGGGGCAGGGAAGTCATCTCTAGGTTTCGAAAAGCTAAAAGTGTGGCTCTCTTTGATTCAGTGGCAATCTCCATGATGATATGATCATTCTGAAGACGGAGTCACAATATACGATGGCAGACGACCAAAGCTTTTCACTGGTATAACTGTATGAATTTATTTGTCTTTGATGTTAGTGATTTCTGACTTGATATGTATTCTTTTTTTTTAATCTTTTTGACGAAAAACTTGACATGTATTCTAATTATGTTCTCTTCATAATTTCAGTCGTATTCTTCTTCTTTTTTTAATCTTTTTGACAAAAAACTTGACATGACATTCTAATTATGTTCTCTTGTAATTTCAGTTGAATTTCCAAATAGAACAAGGGGTACCCCTTTTGTCCAAATGGATAGCCTTCAATCGTTTCAAATTTGGTGCTAGAAAAGGATTTAAAGTTGGACCAGCATTTGTCTTCACGGGGTAGATTATGATGCTAAACTGCAGATCTTTTCGTTTTCCAAAATTTGCATTTGAGGTCCAGGACACTTTTAACACTTCATTGTGTGATAGCGTGACAGGTGGTTCCATTGTTGGGGATATGGCTCCATATCAAGCATTTAGCATTGGGGGACGGAGCAGTGTTCGAGGATATGGCGAAGGTGCAGTGGGCACGGGAAGAGCCTGTCTGGTCTTGAATAGTGAACTCTCTGTTCCCCTGGTATGGAAATTCCATATTTGTTCTCATATTTGTACTCCATTTTCACTAAAGTGCAGTCGTTTCCCCTTTATTGATGTGATGCTGCTAAAAATCTCTTGAGTTAAGGACAACACTATTCAAGTTTTCTATAAGCATTAGATGGCATCTGATGCTGCTTGTTGATGGAAATTATGGACATACATAGCGTTCGGAGCTTGAAAATTGACATTGAACTCCTAATTCATTTATTCAAATGAAGGACTATCCGAGTGATTACGGCAGTGGTCACAGGAATTTCAGTTGATAGTGTTGCCCTACCCTTTATTAAATTATTGGGACCAATGGAGAACTTGAATCACCCTCCCTCTTTGAATCAAATGTTTGAGTTTGCATATGTTGACCCAGTAAGAAAAATATTTGAATTTCCTCAATTAGTTCTTTGATCAAATTGCATGTAAATAAATGCATGATAATCCTTTTTTAGTTTTATTATATCCAAAAGTCATCATCATCCAAGCTTTATCCCAATTATTTGAGGTGTTATATCCAAACGTGAGTATTATTATTTTTATTCCCAGGCATTCCTTATCACACTTACCACCTATGTGATGCACATATGATAAGGCTCATCATATAGGCCTTACCTTATGTGCAATTCGTTTCCATTCTCTCTTGCATATCCTCTATTGAGTTCAGCAGTGCGTTTTTTGTTCATGTTGTTAGAAACTATGCTTGATACCTCCTGTGATTATGTGCAAACCCTGAAATTGTGATTTGTGAGTTAACTGAAGACTTCACGGTCAATGATACCCATCAATATTAGGTTGTAAATTGCCATTCCTGTAGCATATCTTTGCTTAAGCATGTCACAAAAAAGAATTACAGATATTACAGAATAAATGTCAATGTAACTTATTTTATGTGACTGTTTGATGATAATTTACTTGTCACATGCCATCTTTAACAAATTCAATCATCTTTCTAGTCTTAGGGTGGGTTTGGGATCTTGGAACATGACTTGATATTATGTTCCTAGTGTTACTTTGCTTTAGATTTCAAAGATACATTTTTTGAGATAGAATACATATTTTTTCGGGATTAAATATTTAATCATAATTGCTTCGATGCTGTGTTTCAATGCTTTTGAATTCTTTGGAATTCACCTGTGGTATTCCCCTTAATTCATTTCACTTGTTTTCTTGCATTGTGTAGACAAAGATGTTGGAAGGCACAATATTCCTGGATTGTGGAACAGATTTGGGCTCTGGCCGACACGTCCCAGGTCAGTCCCCTTTTCTAGAATTAGATTCATGAAATTCCTCTTCATGGACTCATACTTGTTCACTTTAATTGTGGAGAGTGCAGGAAATCCTGCTCTCAGGCATGGGAAACCAGGTTCGGGAATTGGATTGGGGTACAGCCTTCGTTGCCAGTCTCGCTTGGGGCAGATTCAAATGAATTATGCTATCAATGCTTACCAGCAGAAGAGTTTTTCCTTTGGTATCAGTAACGCTGCATTTTGAACTTCGCATCAAGAGATTTGCCATTCAAGTTTGACCTCAAATTTGTCAGTTCCCCATTCAGGAACGCTCAGTCAAGGAAATGCATGAGTTAGTCCCATGGGCAACCGTTCATACGGGAGCAATAGCTTCTTACAATTTTGCAGAGTAAAATAAGCCAACGACAAAAGGCACTCATTGTCGAGAAAGTAATTACTTGCTTTAGAACCTCTTTTTGAGATTTTGCAAAAGTAGTTCATTCTTTTTCATGAAATAAATCACCTAAGGTGCATACCAGTGAATTATAAGCTGAGAAGGAAATAGTACTCAAATTTAATAAGCAATGTTTTGCTGGAAGCATTTAACTGCCACTTACAGGTGGCCCGTTTGGTAATAGAAATTTCAAACAGTTCTCCATCTAGTAACAATAGTCAGTATCATGCAAGAAATCTTGTTTAGCACAAGTCCCAAGTTTGTCACCAAACAACATATAACATGGGTCTACTGGGATTTTCTGTTTCACCATTATTAACCATTTTCGATCTATTCAAAATTATACTAACTGAATTTTCTAAGAGATGATTAAAGTTCAGTGCATAATCTTTAAGGAAAAAGTTTATATAAAGATGCGACCATATAATATAGAACTACAGATGCCCCCCAAAAATCCATCTAAAAAAGTAGTTTTAATGTTGAAAAACCCTTTGATTGATCATCTCGACATCGAGATGTATGACTATGAAAAATAAAAAGATTTTAAGTCTCAAAAATAGTGCATTTTACAACATATTATCTACACCATCCATTTTCAATATTTTCATATGTTTATAGATCTATTTGATTTTAACCATTTTTTAAAATTTAAAATTTTATAATTTAATATACAAATAGATTTTGATATAATCCCTGAGAAC